CACTGGACCACAAGGGTAGTCCCTGTAAGTTTGTACCTCGTAATCCCCCTCACTTACTTCACTCATCTCCCCCACCACCTCCCCTCTGACAACTCTGTTTATTCTCTGAGTCTATTTCTGTTTTGTTTGTTCATGTTTTTAGATTACACATCAGTAAAATAATATAGTACTGGTCTCTGATTATTTCTCTAAGGATATCACCATTTAGGTCCATCCATATTGTCATACATGAAGTTACTTCATTCTTTTATGGCTGAGTAATATTCCATCGAATATACATGTACCCCATCTTCCTTTTTAAATTAATTTTTATGGGAGTATAGTTGCTTTGGGCTTCCCTGGTGGCTCAGTGGTAAAAAATCCACCTGCCAATGCAAGAGACATGGGTTCAGTCTCTGGGTTGGGAAGATCTCCTGGAGAAGTAAATGGTAACCCTCTCCAATATCTTGCCTGGGAAATTCCATGGACAGAGGAGTCTGGTAGGCTACAGTCCATGGGGTCGCAAAACAGTCAGAGACAACTTGGTGAGTAAACAACAAAAACACAGCTGCTTTACAGTTTTGTGTTAGTTTCTCACTGTGCAACAAAGTGAATCAGTCATTCATAAATATAAATCCACTCTTCTTTAGATTTCCTTCCCTATTAGGTCACCACAGAGGGCGGAGTAGAGTTCCTTGTGCTACACAGTAGGTTCTCATTAGTTATCTGATTTATACATAGTAGTGTATATATGCCAATCCCAATCTCCCATTTCATCCTACTGATCCTTCCCCCACAACATGTGGTCATTAGGATTAGTTCTTTCAAGTTTCAACAAAGTTGCTCCTTAGTTTATAGTATTCTAATAAAGTGCCTTAAACTAGAAGGTTAACTTGTTTCTGTTCTAGTCCCAACTCTAGTACTTAGTGATTTGTGTCATCTTGTATATATTTTGTGATCTTTAGTTTATCAACTATACAAAGAGAATAAGATGCTTTTGTGCTATTACGCAGAGCACATGGAATAATTTCTATAGGTGTTTTATGAAAACTGCAACTATAAACATGTTAAGATAAAGATTTAATTTAAAAAATACTTATTTGTTCTTCTTATACCTTTATAAATTTCAATCCTATCTCCTCTAAAGCTTTCTAGACTGAAAAACTCTTCTGTCTTTGGCAAATCTGTTGTCCTCTTGGTATTTTAGCAGCTCTTTTCTAAACTACCTCTAACTTACGATTAGAATGTACCCCTTCCACAGCCACCGCATCAAGGCATATTCCAACTCATACTTCAAGATGCAGTTGAAACAGCAAGTCTTCCATGACAGTTTTCCACTCATATTTATTCACTCCCCAGTAGTGGGCTGGTATTTACCAAACTCTTAACTCCTGTATCCCCCTAGCTGATGTGGGAGCAGTTTAGAAGCCACTATCCTCTAATGTTAGCTTAATGTTCATTAAAAACCTTACCTTAAATACCCCTGGGAGAATCTGGGAAGACTTTACAGAGTGACAAGTATTGGTAGGTTTTAAAGCATCAGTCCAAGTTTTCCTGGAGTTAAGCAGGAAAGAAGCTCAGCACATGGAAACAGAATGGCGCTTTCCAACTTTCACATGCTTTCTTCTCCCACTTCCTCTCTTTCCATTCACCTGTCACTCACACTCCAGTCAAACGGAACTACTTGTAGTTCACTAGGTTGCTCTTTCCCCTGAGCCTTTTAGTTCACGCTGTTCCCTGTGTTTGGTATGCCTTGTTCCCCTGATTTCCTTTAACCTGGCTAATTCCTGTTTTTCCTTTAAGTGAAAGTTGCTCAGTTATGTCTGACTCTTTGCGACCCCATGGACTGTACAGTCCATGGAGTTTTCCAGGCCAGAATACTGGAGTGGGTAGCCTTTCCCTTCTCCAGGGGATGTTCCCAACCCAGGGATCGAACCCAGGTCTCCTGCATTGCAGGCGGATTCTTTACCAGCTGAGTCCCAAGAGAAGCCCAAGAATACTGGAGTGGGCAGCCTATCCCTTCCCCAGCGGATCTTCCCGACCCAGGAATCAAACCGGGGTCTCCTGCATTGCAGATGGATTCTTTACCAACTGCGCTATCAGGAAAGCCCATCTCAACTTATATGTCACCTCCTCTGGGGTGTCTTCCCTGACCCCCTGGCCTGACTCTCCAAGTCTGAATTAGGTTCCCTTTCTCTATGTTCTCACAATATCCTGAACTTACTTCTTGGTAGCACTTGTAAAACTACTGAAATTTCTTTGTAGTTTTCCACATTTTTTCACTAGACTTAGAGCTCCATAGGGCAGCTTCTGTTATTCCCAGGGCCCAGGTGATACTCTGCATAGAGTAAACATCAGTAAACATTTCTTCAGTGAATGAATGAATTTCACAAGAATGCTGACTGCAAAGAAAGATTTGAAAAGCTGGCAGCTGATGAACATTCTCTTTCCACATCCAGCATTCTCCTGGTGTGCAACCTGCAGACGTGGAGGAAGTTGTGGAGAAGGGTGTGCAGATCCTTGTGATTGGCCGAGGGATGAGTGAGGCCTTAAAGGTTGGTATTGGGGAGCGCAGCATTCCTGAGGACTTTCAGTAATCTCTCGGATCTTTACTATAGAGATACGTCCTTTCTCTTGGAAGTTCAATCTATGTATCATGCATCCCCATTTTGCTGAGCCAGTGGATGGCCCAGGATGAAGGAGTGGCTGAACCTACTCTTCCTCATCAGGGTTGGTCTCTCCAGTCTCTACGTAACCAAAGGCTGGTGTTGTTTTCAACCATTTTCCAGAAATTCCTCAATCTTGGAAATTTCTTAAACTCTATAGCTATCAATATCTGGCTCTTCAGAGTTTTATAGTATCTTCCATTATTTACAGTACTTAAAATTTTTCTTTTCTTGGGCACATTCAAGTTAAGTTTTTTTTTCCCCTTTTCAGAAAAATGTTTGTTTTTATTGTACTTACAGAAATAATACATGCTTGTTGAAAAAGAGTCAACACAGAAATGTAGTATTAAAAAGGTGAAAGATCCCCCTTCCTAGTCACATGTGATGTATATGTAACTCTGCCAATTCTCTCTACACATCTACTAATATATACTCACTTATGAGTACTGACATCAATGCTTTTACATAAACAGGATCACACTATACATACTGTTCTGCAACTTTTTATTCATTTGTTATTGCATTATGGACAGCCTTTCACATAAGTTTATAGAGATCTACTTCATTCTGTCCCTTATAGACATGTCCTAAAATCCAGTTCCTTATTGATGAAGGTGCCTTTCTAATCTAGTTTTTCCCCCCCTCCATTAAAATGACTCCTATCCATATGGCTACTGTTAATATAAAACTGTTCAAATACATGAAAAAGTAATATAGGACATTTTTAAAACATTTTGCTGAGAGTTTCTTCTAACAGAGTTGAATTAAAATCTATTTAAAATAATATTCAGGACAAGTCAGAGTTGAGAAAATATCCAATAACAGCTGCCACTATTGAGAATCTTTTATATAAATTCATTTACAAATATTTATTCAGCACCTTCTGTGGGTCAGACACTGTTTGAGGTTCTGGGGACAACAAGGTAAAAAAGGTTCGTGGCCTCATGAATAATTAAGATGTAGACAATTTCAGATCATAGTAAATGCTGTGAAGAAAACGGTGACTTCTGAGGGCTGTTCTAAATGAGGTGATCAAGAAAGGCCTGAGAGCACATTTGAGCTGCAGTATATGTACATTCATAAAACTTCATCCTCACACCAACCTTGTGGTTTTAAGTATTATTATCCCCATTTTATAGGGGAGGAAATTGCAATGACAGGCTTTCAAAAGGTCTCTTGGTTATTGCATGGCAAAGTTAGAATTTAGACTCAGGTTGGATTGACTCAAACATTTAACATTTACGTGCTAGACATTTTACATAGTTTAGCTGAATTTGTTCTCATACCAACCCTGTAAATTAGGTGGTATTACCTCTATTTACACATATGGGAAAAAAGGCTCAGAATATTTAATTCACTTACCCGAAGTCATACTGCTAGTAAAGACTTAAATTGAAAACTGTTTGGCTCCAAAATCCGTGCTCTTTCCAATTTCCATTTCACCTGAGCTGTGTGCACATATTGCAGGATACTTCTGTCAACCTCTTAGAAGACACTTTGACTCCTTGGGCTCACTGCCAAATTTTGGACTGGTGACATGCTGGGTGATTGGGGAGTGTCAGTTGTCAGTGTCCAATTCTGTGGAATGTATTTGCCTCACAGCAGGAAAGGAAACCCTGGGGGCCTTTCACCCTGATTTACTCATCTTTTTCCTTCTTCCCAGGTACCCCCATCAACCGTGGAGTACCTCAAGAAAAAAGGCATTGATGTGCGGGTCCTCCAGACAGAGCAGGCAGTGAAGGAGTATAATGCCTTGGCTACCCAAGGCATCAGGGTGGGAGGGGTCTTCCATTCCACCTGCTGATGGAGCCTTAAGAGAATAAATCACTAAACAATGATGCCTGTGACTGTCACTCTTACCACTCTCCACTCCAGCCTCCCCAGCACTTTAGAACAGCTGCCTGTACCAGGTCCTGGGCTAGGCTCTGCAATGCACGGATGACTCAGGCAAGGCCCCTGTCCTAGGGTGCGGGGAGGCGGGGACAGAGGAGACAGATGTTTACCAAACTTTAATACTGTGGTAAATGTTAGGCCAGAAGTAAATGAAAAAAAGGCATATATGAAAATAAAGCCAAAAATGAAGAAAGCCTTCTGATTTGAAGTTTGAAAGCCAAAGTTTCAGTACATCAAAATCATATTATAATTTTACTTTGGAATGTTTAGTCATCAACCAATTTTATTAAGTACTTTGTATACCAGGCAATGCTACAGGTTCCAAAGAAACAGCAATAAAGTCTTACGTTCATCAAATTTCTATTCTAGTGTGCCAAATAAATAAGCGAGCAAATACATATTGTAAATAGAATCTGTTTTAAGAAAAATAGAGCAAGATAAGAAAAAGAGTGATGGGGCTACTTCAGGTATGTGGAAAGGGAAAATTTATTTGTGCAATAACATGAGCAGAGCCCTGAAGCAACACTTCAGTAACAGTGAAAGGACCTATGCCTTGATACTCAGGTTCTAGACAGGCTGTTCCACTAACTAAACCTGAGTCTTGCCAGTCCTCTCGACCTCAGATTCCCTCACTATAAAATGATGGAGCTGGACTACATGCCTTCTGATGGCCCCTACTGGCATGGATGGCCTTGGTTCTATTAAATACCAAGTGACCTTTCCAAAACCTTATGATAGACTAATAGAATTAATAACAGTTATCAGCATTGCCTTATTTTTCATTTTTCCCCCTCTTGAAAATAAAAGTTACGAGTATTGGCTTTGGTGTCCAATAGCCTTGACTTTGACCTGTGGCTTCCAATGCCATTCATTAGTTGGGCATTTATTTAATTTCTCAGTGTTTCACTGTTCTCATGTCAGATAGGGATAATATTAGTACCTGAAGTTATCACAGGTGTTAAGTGGGGTAATTCACAGAAAGTCTTAGCACTCTGCCTGGCATGTATTAAGGGCTCAATAAATTGAAACCATTGTCATTATCTTTCTCCTAAGGGGGCTGCTGTGTAAAGCTAACTGGTTTTATCTTATGGTTCTTAATATAGCAGCTTATTATTTCATAGATTCCTAGGATGTTGGTGCCCAAAGGAATTAACTACTCTTTTCACTCACTCATTTATTCAGTAATTCTCTTTCATACTCATTTACTCAAAGTCTTTAACTAATATTCTTATGACAAATTATTGCTGGATCATAGGGTTATAGGAATGAGTAAGTCATAGTTCCTGCCCTCAGGAGTTACCTGAGAGAGAAATAAACAAGACAATGATACAGTGTGTTAACATTATAATAGTTATAACATCCAGTGGTGGCACAAAGGGAGACTAACTTACCCTACCAAGATAGGAGGAAGATTAGGGGAGACATCACTAAGAATGTAACACAGGTCTTAAAGAACAAGTGGTTCATTTATTCACCAAATATTTGGGAACTTTTCAACAGACATTAACTAGGTATGCTATCGATCATGGTCATAGCTGAATAAAATTGCTCCACCCCCACCCTTGTTGAAGCCACGGCCCGGAAAGTTGATTTTTGCTCCACATGGTCCTGTCACCTGACTGGCCACACTGGGCATCTGACCTAAGGACAGCCAATCAACTTAAGATGTGGCTTGGCAAGAAAACATGAGCTGAGATAACTGCCATGGAAAGTGATCTTTCCAAGTTTACCCAGCAAGAAAGTGGCAAAGGCAGGATTAGAACCCAACCCTGTGTCTTGATCTCTTTCTACCACCTTAGAAGACCTGTAGGAGATAGATTCTCACAGACCTAACACCCAGCCAAGAGTCTGAGAAGGTCATGCTCAGTGCCCTTTCCACAACCAACCGTGTGTCAGATGACAGGGTCTTTCTAGATCACAGTTCCCTCAGCTCGGAAAGCCAGATACATATAACAAGAAATTTTTATGTCTGATAAAAATTCAGACTATTTTTCTGGGTGATGAGATAAAAGAATTTTTTTTTTCTGTCAAATGTAAGATAAGACAGCTCCAGTAGGTGTTGAATTAGGTGTGGGTGTAATTAGGTGTTCCTAAGTGAGTCGTCTCTACATTAAACATAACTTAGTACAAACTTCTTAAGAGACAGAAGTACCTGGCAGTGAAGTTATTAAACTTTGTATCAAACCTGCAATAGCCCCTACTTCTGAATCTCTTCTGCATGGTCAGTGCTGGAAATTCAAAGAACTGGGAGAGAAGCTCTTTTTCCATGACACTATACTGAGTCCCACGTCTTAGTCACACACCCTTTGATTCAATCTGTAAGTTGCGTGCACAGCCCTCGCTCTGCCGACACTTAATTTCTCCTAGCTTGAGCGGTTCCTGAGAAAAGTCTTGTCATGTGTTAGGTGTGTACCTTCTCAATTCTGTTTGCTGAGGTCAATTACGTCAAAGACAAACATACAGTCCTTTCACAAGTCCGACTCTCAGGGCTGGCTTTTGCAGGCATGTCATGGTACTGTCAACCTCGCTCTGGACTCATGGACTCATTCATTCTTTCCTTGCTTGGTATGTGCCAGGCGCTACGCTGGGGATACAACACAGACATTCAGCTATTCAGACTGGTTGGGAGAAACAGACATATAAACAGTGATGATGCAGAAGCTGCACACTGTCACAAATCTCCCTGGAGACAGGTTTTGTTGGTCTCAGAGTAATCTGAACATTTACTTGACTTACACAATTTTTTACATGGATATATTTTTTTTAACGTGAAAATGCAGGTTACTGGCTTTTCTGGAAGAATTAGAAAATCTGACCAGGCCCATACCTATGAACAACTGAACAGCTGAGTGGAGCTGAACAGCCTTCATCAAGACAGAGAATCTGCTGATTCTTCAGTCTATCATTTTCCTACAGCCACTGACCCACTCCTTTTTTAAAATTGTATTATTCTTTTTCATAACTTCGAAAAAGAGGAGGCATTTATTAGCTTTACAAAGCCACTTGCCTTTTTTTCCCCCCTGCCTACCTGCTTCAGGGGTTGGCATTTGTGAACCTGCAATAAATACAATGGTTGAAAAATGGATAGAAGGCTGTGGGAACATAAAGGCGATGCATCAAGCTCACAGGAGACACAGACAGGTTCCAGAATGAGGCTCACTCCTGAAGAATGAAAAGAAAGGAACCACAGGAGACAATCTGAAGAGCACATTCCAAGGTCCAGGTGTGAGGCAAGAGACTGCGTGGTGACAATCAGGAATAACTACAGATAATCCTCTACAGCGGGAGAACTACAGAGAATGTTGGGGACATGGAGTATGAGGCTGAAGAGGAGAGCAGGGGATGAAGATTCTTCAAGGACTGATTAGACTTTATCCTGGAGCCAAGAAGTAACCCACTTGAGGTTCAAGCAGGTGAATGAATGTGATCAGATCTGGATTTTGGAAAGATTACTCTGGCACCTGTGTGAAGAGTGGGTTGAAGGGGAAAAGATTTGAGGCAAGCAGTTCGTTAGGAAACTAATCTCACACTTCTAGAGTGATGATGTAGGCTGCATCAAGACAGACACATTGAGTAAAGAGGACTGAAACATTTAAAGCACCAGAATCTCAAGGACGTGATGGCCAGTTTTACATGAAGTGTAAGGATAGAGTCCAGTGTGACACAGTTTCCAGCTTTGACCAGGTACACGGTTGGCCACTGAAAATGCAGAACATACCCCTGTAGAGGCCTGATTTCCAGACTTGCTTCTACTAACTCAGTCTCTCTGGTTGCACAGTCACTTATAAATGAGGATGCCACACTAGAGCCATCTTTATGCCCCCTTCCCAGGTCTTTGTCAGAAAGGTCAAGATTCTCATAATTCACAGAGAATTCAGAGAAAGAAGAATTTAAAAGGCTGAGCTCTACCCCTCATGTGATAACTTGAATTCCTTTAGGACACACTTGTCAGGAGCTTGTTCAACCTCAGATTGAACACATTCAGCATTGAAAATTCCTGATCTTCTAAGATAACCCATTCAATTCTTACAGTTTTTAAAAACCCATCCTAGCTGCTACTAAGGCAAAATTTGCCCCTTTGTGTCTCTTCACCTTTGATCTGAAAAGTACTATTTCGGGTCTTAAGACCTAGGATCAAATTCTGCCCTTGCCCCTTAGAAGAAAGACTTGACTCAAACTCTCAGTTTCCCCACCTATAAAATGGGGAATAACTGAGAAAGATTTTTACAAAAGGAGCAGTGTACCTGAAAAGGATTCAGCATATTTTTCCCTTGGAAGGCTTTCTATAGCTATGGCATGGAAGGCTCAGTTAGCAGCAACTTTTCTTGATGTTTTCATTCGTGCTTCAACTCAGTAATCATCATTAGGTGCTTGTGTCGGGGCCATGGTATGACTCAGCCTGGCTTTAAGCTTTACTTTATCTCCAAGGCAGGCAATTTTCTTTAGGACTTCCTTTTGACACTGATGGCACATCACTGAGATGTACTAAGTAAGTGAGCACACAAGAAAAGTAAATGCCATTGAGGTGATCTTCTTTTAGTCTCTTCATAGCAGTTATGACCTCCAGGAGCCAGACCACCCAGGTTCTAATTCCAGCTCTGTCATTTACCAGCTCTGCGGCCTAGGCCAACGAGGCAGCTCCAACACTGTAGCCGTCAGAGACGGAGCTGAAAGTGTTGTTTCTTAGAGTGGATCTCTCTTTCCCATAATCCTGGCTTCTTTAAATTATCTGAACTTCAACTGCTTTAATAATAATAGCACCTACTATTAGGTTTATTATAATAGCACCTACTTCATACTGTAGCTTTGAGGATTAAATGAATTAATTCATTAAAGGGTTTGCAACACTGCTGGGCACACATTAGGTGTGTTAAACTAAAAGTCAAATGTGCTTTGAATTCAAATTCCAGCTCTGACTCTCAGTAACTGTATGCTCTTGTTATTTTTATTAGCTTTCCAAGCACCAAATATGATCGAGACTGGCCAGAGATTAAGATTCTGCCAGGCATTATTTAATTAAACCCATTCAACAACCCATAAAGTATAATTATCTCTATTTTACAGGTAAGAAAATTAAGGCACAAGAGAGATTTGTAGGTTCTTTTCCATATACCTCTCCTGATGTGGTATATATAGCTCAGACCTTTGGACTCATTTTGGATTTGAATGAATACAGGTGTTATTACAGTATTCCTACCAATGACCTAACCTGTCAGACTCACTTGGCTGTTACAAGGATTAAATGACAGGTAAAGAACACATCACAGGCCCTCACATGGTTCATAGCCTTTACTGTTCTTACACCCCAGCTGCATCTTTAACTCACATGCAGCTCCAACACTGGAGTCGTCAGAGAAGTACTGGAAAATGACTGTGCTTCTTACACTAGATCCCTCTTTCCTATAATGCTGGTTTCTTTTCTAAAATACGGCCCATCTCTCATATTTTAATGGCAGGCAAGATCAAAAATTTTCCTGAAGAATGAATGTCCATTCAGTTCTTGGCCAGCCATTGCCTGAGTTAAGGAAGGAGACTCTCAGCAAGATAACGAAGTCTGGGGCCATTCAGGAACTGTCGATGGTGAAAAAACAAACCTGTGAAAGCTGCTTTTGGAGTTGGCTCTGACAAACAGACTGTTGCTTTAAGAAATAAGATTATGGCTCCAATAACTGGTTCTTTGGAAGTGGCTAGAAAATTGGATCTTTTTGTTTCACACCTGAAGAATGCAGACATGTAGCATAAATGTTGAACCTATAGCCACACAGATTCCCTGAAGGACCAGGGACTAGAGCAGCTAGGTGTCTCAACTTTATTGGGGGCAGGGCTATGGAGGTTGGGGGTGGAGGGCAGGATAGCCTTGAAGGTTTCTGTGTTCTTAATTAATGCAATATAATTTATCCAATGCTTGATACAGATGAGACTGCATGGGTCACATGTTCCTCCTTATGCCTATATACCATTTCCAGGTGAAATGCTCCAGGCTTCTGGCTCACTCTGATCCCAAGAAGGGCCTTCTAGGCCACAGCTATAAAGACTGCTTGTGATTCAGCGTCTTGCGGGTTTGGGCATTATGTAAACTTTTACAGACTTGCTGAAGGGGATGGTGCCCTCGATGCTGGTTTCCACCTGGGGTGACATCTCACCACCTTCAATCCAGGGGGATTTTGGAATGCGTGAACTGGAGTTGTAGGCCAGCAGCAGCCTCACTTCCACCTGGCAGGGTTCTAGAAAAAAAGACAAAAATCCTCAATGATGGGGCAACTACCAGGAATTGGGATGAAATGTGAAGTAAGAGCAAGATCAAAGATGGAGGCAGCAAGGTTTCTCTTTTTTTTTTTTTTTTTGCAGCAGGGTTTCAAGAACATTTTTCACCTGTCTGCATCCCTCCCTTCCCCCATCTGCAAAACAAAGACAATTTTCCATGAGGCTCTTCCTAAGCTGCAGATGTGCTGCTGCATCTCTGCCAGCGCCACCTCCTCCTCGGGTCTGCTGGGCTCCCTGCAGCTCAGAGCCATGGCTGCTGAGACACTCAGAGAGCAAGTGAAAAACCCTCTCGCACAGAGGCCTTCCAGCCTCAAAGACAGAGGGTCACAAGGTATGTGCATGTGGCCAGTTCTTGTGCCCAGATAACCACGCTCTTTCTCGGCAGCTGATCTCAGACCTGAGGGCTGCGTGCAGAGTGCACTCTGATGCATTAGCGGAGAAGAAGCCGTTCATCTGGAAATAGTTCGGACAGAAAACACTCATTACTAAATAGGAACACATTTCAGGGACCTAAAATCATGTCACTGAACCCTCCATTCTTTCATGACATGACATTACAACACTGATCTGGTGCCTGCACCTGGCAGGCCCAGCAAAAATAAATAAGACCGCCCTTAAGTTGCTGTTTGTCTGAGGAGGCAGAGACAGTTGCGAAGAGCACAGTGCACACACGAGTCTGTAAAAAGTACTGAGGAAGGAGCCCAGGAAGGCTTTGGAATGGAACACCAACTCTGTGCCAAGCACATAACTCCCAAGAGATCTTACCCTGCCACACCATGGAAGAAAGATCGTCACGATCCCAAAAAATTCCCAAGGTTCTGAGAGGTTCTAAGTGACTGCCCAAATCCACACTAGTGACAGATTTTGAGCTCAGTTCATAAACTGAAACACTAATCTTTCTATTAACCATGTGGCTTCAATAAAGAAGAGGGAGAGGATTTCAGCAAGACCTAACGGCAGGTGCAGAGGACAAGAACACCGCTAGCTTGGGTGTCCTCCTTGATCTTGTGTGACTGGGTAACCTCCTTACTTCATGAAAGGTGCAAGTTTCAAAGATGAGCCCAAGGGTAAGGGGTTTAAAGGGCAGCAACGAGGGCTGATAGAACAGAAAATGAACAAGGGCAGAGGTCCCAGGACTTCTCAATGCCTCCCCAGACATGTTCCCTGTTATTTCGAGACTTCTCCCTAGGAATCAAAATAGAGACAAGATCACTGTCTTCCAGGAAGGGAGGGCTGGCAGCCAGCCAGAGCAACCCAGCCAAGCCCAGACAGCAACTTCAGCAGGACCATTTACCACGGGCCCTTTCACTAGCCTTCACGTCCCTGTAATGAAACCAGCACTGCTCTCTGGTCCGAGGCTCCAGTGTCAGCTCTCCCAACAGGCTCTGCTCTTTTGTCCTAAATGGCTACTGCCAACCCTTGAACCACAACCCAGCCCTGGCTCTCACAGCACTTTCAGGAGCCAAACCCTGGTAAGGTCAGATGACTGAACCCTACCTGGTCATTAAGCCTTCCCTCACCAGCACATGTGAAGAGTGGCAATTCAAGCCACTGCCATTAGAGGAAGGGAGCAGAGAGAAAAAACAAGAGGGGGAAGACAGTGGGAAAAACAAACAAAAGATCGTCTGGGGCCAATCATGCAACCTGTTTATCATGCTTGGAAGAGTGTGTCTTTATGAGATATATATTACCACTCCACAGTCTTAAAGGAAAATGAGACAGACAGGTTAAATAACTTTCTCAGGATCACAGCAAGTAAGGCAGAATTTGGAAACTTGTCTATGTGACTCCAGGCCTGGCAGCATCCTGTCTCCCAAAAGACAGGCCCTAGGTAGGGAGCTGAGGGACTAGATGGAGGAGCCCCTTCCCAACACCAGGCCTCATCTCCTGGGTTAGGAAGAAGAAAGTGCTGGCACATTCAGAATGAGAACACATTTCACTTTAGTATCCAAGGCCAGATGGGAGGATGGTATAGTGAAAAAACAAGGCACTTAGGAAATCTACATGCAGGCCTCCAAGCCACCATTAATCGGCTATGTGGGCCTCCACTTATGCATCTAAAAAATTAAGAGCAGAATACTAACTCCCACCACAGAGTTATCTAAGAATTAAATGAATTTTTAATGCAAACTTGAAACCCTACATTCCGTTTTCATTATTTGTTGAGCATCTACTATATGTCAGGGACTAGGGACATAAGATACAGAGGTACTGGGAACACAAAGGTAAAGGTGATGAGCAAGTTTCCTGTTCTCAAGCAGCCCACATTCTAATTGGAGATAAAGCCAATAAATGCATGAGGAAACATCTGACATGAGTAAGTGCTGAGCAGAGAATTAAAACAGATTTTTAATTATGACTAGGTAGCAGCCTCTCAAAGGAGGTAACCCTGAGTGAATTATAATTTTTCAGGCTCAGGACAGCCCAAACTGTATGCCTGGTTCATGCAGTGAGCTGCTGCATGACCAGGGACAAGGCAATACACCCCTTAAACCTTTCAAGCTCTTCTGAGCTGTAATATGCTGTCTTGCCTCCCTCAGCCTTGGTCCCTGCAAAACAGTGCTGTCCCACAGCATTTCTTTCCCCATATCTAGGATCCCTCCACCAAAAGAGATTAGAATAAGGAACTCTAACTTCCTGTAGACTTGCACTGTGGCAAACAGTGCAGAACATTCCAACAGCAAGGATATGGAGTGAGGGACATTCAGGGAGGCAGATCTTGGGAAAAGCTTCCTGGCTGGAAGCTCCCTCAATTGTGACAGGCCCACTGGACCTCCAAAAGGGCTGCTCCGACATTCAATAGCATTGTTTCCTCTTTGTGAAAACTTTTATAAAGTCATCTACACCCACCTAACACCCTTAATTGGGGGAACCACTAATAATGGCAATAAACAATTATGCATGTATTCAAAAATACAGTGAAAGAAAATTCTAGAAGGCATTCATCTATTTCTAAAATAAACCAAATTTGCTGGTATTGAACACCATCTTCAGTAACCATACTTGTGAATCATCTTCAACAATTTAGGCAACACCACCAAGACCAATTCTCTCCCACATTTTAGGTTCTGCAGACTGAGTCTCTTTCTAAAGTTTCCAAAGCACCTTACAGACTGTGGAAATGGAGTGTCATTGCATTTGTATTCTCTCATTTTATCCTTTACAAATTAAAGAAAAATACTTATGTAGCTTCCATGTTATTTTGTCAAATTAACAAGTTTCTACTCAGATGCTGTAGGGCGAAGTATGAATAGATCATCTTTGCACTACCCCACAAACCAGCCCATGTGGGAAGGGAAGGCAGTAACAGTTGTCACTGTACATCTTCTGGGGGAATGAAATGAACTGTTCATATAACAAAAAGAGTGATTTTAAATTACTGGTAAAAAAAATATAAAACTGTTTAATTTCCAGAAAGACTAGTCCTCAGAATTAAGTAGTAGATTAAGAGTTGTCATCTTAATTTAGAAGGTGAGGAGACAAGATTCAGAAGGGAGAGTAGCCTGTCCAAGGTTTTGCAGCAGGTCAATTACAAAGTTACGATAAGAAAATAGTCTCCAGATGTCTAGCCCATAGTTCTTTCCATGAGACTCCATTCTATCGTAATCTTTTGAAAAAACTTTGTGCTGTGTATAATCAAAGCAATGCAGCAAATTAGTCTAAATATGCCCAATTTGAGCTTGTAAGCGCCTTAGGAAATCAAGTTCAACCCTCAGCAGGCCTGGTTCAATCACGTATTTTTCAAACTATAAAAAACAAATGCCTTGCCCCCCACGGACTTCTTACCTGTCCAGGCAGTGTGGGAGAGGAACACCTGAGTGATGAGCCGGTGCCGCCCTGGGCCAGGATTCCGAAAGTCTGCCGGCTTAGGGTGGATCATCTGAGCCTGGCCATCTGGATATAAGACCTAAGAGGTGACAGACATGAGAAAAAGAGCCAGAAGAGCCATGAGCTTTTAACAAAATTGCTGGTGACATCTGCTGTGAACCCCAAAACAGGAGGAAAAGATGACACCATCCTTCATAAGAAACTGCTCCTTGTGGGGAGGACAATCCTGTCAAAATCTCTCTACCCTCCCCCTAGTACAAGCCAGTGTGTGATAAATCTTTCCCGAATTTATGGTGAATGAGTGACAGAAATAAGGTGCCTCTATGAAGTACATAGATAAGTTAAAATATTAATCCTGATGTGAAGAGCCTTTGCAGGCACTCCCTGCTTCTTCTGGCTCTGAGTCATATCATGGCCCACCATCCATCATCAACTATCAAGTATTAAGAATAATTCTGGAACCACGCTGGTGGTCCAGTGGTTAAGAATCCGCCTGCCTGTGCAGGGGACATGGGTGCAATCCTTGGTCCAGGAAGATACCACAGATTGTGGCTCAAACTAAACCTGTGCGCCACAACTAATGAAGCCCGTGCTCTGCAACAAGAGAAGCCATCACAATGAGAAACCCATGTACCACAACCAGAAAGTAGCCCCTGCTTGCTGCAACTAGAGAAAGCCTGCCCACAGCAACAAAGACCCAGCATAGCCAAAATTAAGTACATACATACATATTTTAAAAAAAGAACAATTCTGTAACTTTTCACTAGATCATAAGCAGCCAGAAAGCTGTTAATCTCTTTCTACAGAGAGAGTGCTTCATGAGGGGTCTGCTCAAATCACGGGCCAGTTCTTCAAGTCTCACAAGCTGCCAAAGAGCTCTCCTCCACACTGAAGGGAGCTTCACAGTTATCTGTGTAGAGGGCCTATCACACTACACAGTGCACAAGTGAGCTGAAGGAGCAAATGAAGCACATCCTAGGAACACACCGGACCTGGGCTTTGGGAATGTACTGATGGGGTCAAGTAGGGACTGCACAAATCTTTCAACTATGAAACTCTGGGGAGGCACGTCTCAGCCCACTTGCCCCATAATCTCATCTGTCCAGAAGTGTTGGGGCATGGCAGCTGAGCTGGACAACGCTTTCTTACTGTCAGAGCTGTCCAACGACTGAGCAGCGAGTTCCCCATCTTCCAACCTATGATGGTATTCAAACAGTTTGGCCATGCATGTAGTAAAGCTACTCTGAAGGTGATTTTTCAGTAGAGTCTAGCAGATGAACCTTAAACAATCTACCTGTGATCTCATTTATGCACAACTGGTCAGTGAACTTTTTCCAGGAACAATGTGAAACAGTGGCTCTCAACCCTGGCTGCACATTAGAATCACCTATGGGCTTTTTTTTCTTTTTAATTGGAACCTATGAGCTCTTAAATAAAAAATACTGGTACTCATGAGTTCTACTCAAGATTCTGACTTAAACTGGTATAGGTTGAAGCCTGTGCATCAGTATTTTTTTTAACACATTCTGAGTAATTCGAAAGTGGAGCTAGGGTGAAGCTAATGTTGGGAGTGAGAAATAAAATACTGCCTGCCATTTCAGTAAGCAAAGGATTTTGAGCCATCAGGGACAGCAGCCACCCTCCAACTGTGAGCCTGGGGAGAACACAGGGCAGAAACAAGGAATGTCCACCATCTAGCAGTCATCGGACTGCAGTCACACCCATGGTACAGCTTGAGGAAACTCAGGATGAGAAAACAGGATACTGGCCCCAGATAGCTGAGGTGCATATCAAAGGAACGATTTCAGCGAGTCCAGATTCTTCCATCTTCCCAGATACAGAAAAGCACTAAACTCCTTGAGATATCTAGTTTTCTTTTACAAACAGTAATCTTTCATTGTGAGTACCTGGTGTTGCTGCAAAAATTCCTGTATAACCTAGTTTCCCCCACTTCCTCTTCAGAAAAATTTTCTCAGCATTAATCTGAGATGCTATCTCCCAGGCTTGAAGCCCTAAGAACATCCGCTTAAAAAAAAAAAAAACCTAACTCTCCAATTCTAGGCTGTGCATTATTTTTTCAGTCGACAGAGCAAAACAAAAAAAGCTGCAGCACAACTTCACAGGCAGCTCAGAATTAGTTCCCTGCAGGTCTCATAATTTACAATAATTCCGGATGGAAAGCCAGAAGATACTGTTCCTCTACTCTCACCGCAGGCAAATATCACCATCTCCAGGCCTGACTCATCCTTACTCTCTTCCAGGAAGCCGACCCTGCCTGCTCCAAGCTACTTCTCTGTACTCACTGCCAGTGTTTATTCACATTCCCTCTGCCTGGAATACCTCGATCCTTTGCTCTTAATCATCCTTTCAGATCTAATCCATGCCACAGTATCTCCACAAGGTCTTTTTCTTCAGCCACAAATTAAGGGTTTCTCCCATAGTAGTCCTTATCTGAATAACTTATACACAGGTATGTATATATGTATATACATATATATATTGCAGGGAAGAAGCCAATTCTGACTCCATGTTGGAAACTGTTTCTTTGACTTGCTTTTATTATTATAATTATACTCAGTGGCTTGCCTGGAGGACCTTGGTCTTCTGCTTGACTGTAAACTAAAGTGCTTTTATTCAGCTCATGGAGAGATACTTTGTCCTTGTCCACCTGTGAATAGGAGAGAATAACACACCCTTCTGAAGGCTGGCCATTCCCTTGGAGATGTTTTGCAAAACTGAAGACCCTTTCACTTTACTTCCCCACTGCATCTCCCTCTCTATTCTGCCTTTTGACTTGAGTTCCTCATTGCTTCTTTCTCTCTAATTTTTGAAAGAACCTGGCATCCAGACCTCAATAAGGTGGTTATCTTGAGGCACTAGCCTGCTATCTTCTTGGTCTGCCAGCTCCCTGATTAAAGTCTCTTCTTTGCCTCAACACCTCATCTCTCAGATTCACTGGCCTGTCCTGCAGTGAGCAGAGCTGTTAGGGGAAGCACACTGACTGAAACCGCCCACCCTGGCCAGGCACCAGTGTAACCATTTGCATGAGCTGTTTTAGGACAGGAGGTCCTGGTAAGGAACATGGAACTAATAAGTCACCACCAACCAGAAGAGCTGGGGAAAGATCAAAAGGCGACACCACATGTCCAACCACCTCCCAGAATCCTTGATGGCATCCATCATGGCTGAACAAGGTGGGCACCACCAGGAAGGACTCTGAGTCAGAATGACTGGCTAAAGACAACCCGGAAACTAATCCCATCACCAAAAACCTGAGACTGCAAGCCACATGCAGAGCTGTTCTCCTGGGTTCCCTGACCCTCCTGCTCTGCACCCGGGCGCCCTTTCCCAACAAAATCTCTTGCTTTGTCAGTGCATGTGTCTCCTCAGACAATTCGTTTCCAAGTGCTAGACAAAAGCCCAGTTTTGGGCGTTGGAAAGGGTCCCCCTCCTTGCAACAGAGCGAGCTTGCACTCGGTAACATATGTATCTTTTAAGTATACTGATGAATTTTTTATAGAAGCCAAAAATTGAAAATAACCCTGTAGGAAAGGAAAAATAATTTCCTCTCTACCCTTCTAGGTTCTTGTCTGAGACCCTTCTATAATAAAGGCAGATTAACAGGAGAAAAACAGATGCTTAATAACAAATACATATATATATATATATATATATATATATATATACACACACATACACATATATATATAAATACATCTTTATATATAAAGAAGAGACCTAAGAAAACTGAGTCACTCCTTAAAACTGCCCAAGCCATCACCTTAAATACCATCTTCAGCGAAAGACAAAAGGAAGATGCTGAAGAGAAAGAGAGCCTATTACAGGAGGCCATCAAATAAAACAAAATGAACAAGGGTAAGGTTGTCAGGCAAATTTAAGTTGGCATACTCTCCACTGATGAGCTTCTAGAGATTAGCCTTCCAGATACTAAGAGGGAGAAAACTTACAAATGGAGATTTCCCTTACAAACGTAAATTTTCCTCTCTAAAAAGGGCAATTCTACTGTTTCCAGAGATTCACCTGTGTCTACAGACTCTCAAAAATAATCACTACAAAGAATCTTTGGGCCCAAAAGACTTATTTTGGGGTGGTATATTCTGTCCACCTTCATTCCCACCTTTAAAACTTCTAAGGAGCTTCACAATCCAGAAACTGAGTCTGTTAAGTCAGTCCACTATCTTACTGAATCAGTCTTAGTCTTGAGAACAGGTCATTTAAAAAGCTGTGTCTCATTTCAGGAGGCTGTGTTGCAAGTGGCTCCCAAAACTAGATCTATGTTGTGGGAGCAATCTGGTATTTAATAAGAAACCATAATATTCTTAATTCATCCTGCACCTGCCTGAACTGATGGCTGAACTTCTGTTTTACAACTGCCTGTCCACTTGGCTGTCTCTCACTGAAACTAAACATCCTGAGGGCAGGAATTCTAATTCACTTGCTGAGCACTTAGCATGTGCAACAGAGTAAACATTACTGCATGGATGGAAAAAAGGAAAGGAAGGAGAAAGGAGGGAAGGAAGAAAGGAGGGAAATGATAAATGTGTAGGACTCCTTTGGGGCTCAACTACAGAATGTTATAAACTGATTAGTGTCTATACTGAATCTCTCCCATCTCTCTAGTACATCTACCTAACTTGGGAAAAATACTCCCTTGGACAGCTTTTTCCCCACCCATAAATTTTACTCACCAAGCTGACCTAACCACAGCCTGCATGAATTTGCTTATTACAATTTGCTTATAGTCCTAAAAATAACAAGTCTTAACTTCACATTGTAAGAATAGAAGGGGCCCTGCCATTTAATGAACCCATAGTGGGGACCAAGGACTTTTCACATTAATACAACACTTCATTTCAACATTACCATTCCTACTTGTCAGTTGTAGAACCTGACTGAGACACAGAGTTTAATGAAACTTGCTCCAAACCATATTCAGCAGTAGAGCTGGGAACTGTGCCCACATTCTTGTCCATAAAAGCTTCTCTTCCTTCTCCCCAGCTTCTGTCCCTCAGGCAGAGATTACAGGGGGTGCTAAAGTGAAAAGTTTCAACACAAAGTCAGTTCTCCATGGGAATCAAAACCTGACAGACCTGGACCTTCACAGTGTTCTGAGGATCCTGCACGTGTTCCAGGGTTGCATCAACATCCAGGGCCACCACCAACCCAGACGTAAACCTCAAAGGGTTGTCTGACTCGCCTGCTGGCTCAATAATGGTGGCGGAGGCTTTGTGGATCTGTAAACAAGAAGAAAATACGATTCTAAAGCCAGGTCATCCCTGGGCAACAAAACACGATCTCCTTATCTAATGGATGGACATATGTTAGTCAAACAGAAGGAAGGCCTGAACTCAGCTGCTCCACTAAGTCAAAGAAGATCCCCAAGGTGAGCAGTTTTGATTCTCTGGACAGACCTGCACTGCAGGGGTCAAGATACCGACACAGACACTGACCTGCTCTGGAAGGGGGAGGTGTAGGAAGGCACTCTGCCGCAGCATGGTCTGCAGAATTTTGACCACTTCTGCAGGTTTGGATGTCATGAGTCGGGGCATGAGGTCAAGAAGTTTGTCCACAAAGCTGTCCTGCAGGTGGGGCAAATCAGCGATGAAACACCTGAAGGAGCAAACAGAAGCAACTAGGAATTCATTCACCACAGGCTGACCCCTGAACTTCTGCCAGGCCCTGAGGTAGGAAAAGTGAACTGGAGGAGATCATGGTTCCTGAGGAAAGCCATGCACCTATATAAGTAAGCTGGAGTGACAAAGTCATCATAATAGCCATGTTTATTAAAATGTGCCAGGCAACCTCTTGAGTGTTTTATACTATCTTATTTAATCTAGCAATCCTGTGTATTGTTAGAAATATTATTTTCCTATCATATATTCATTAATTAATATAAAAAATATGTTTAGGCCTTACCAGGTGGTAGGTACTATTCTAGACACTGGGAACATAAACACCGAGCCAAAGAGAAGAAAAAGTCTGTTTTAATGCAGCTTATAACCAATGATAAGAATACTGAGACTCAGAGAGGATAATGTTGTAATGAGGCTTAAAAAGGTTAAGTAACTTACTCCCAGCTCTGAATGATTCCATGGTACTTTGCTTTGTAAAAGGAGATAGTTAAAAAATATTTCACTGAGGGGGTGACATCAATACTGAGACTCAGAGGCTGAATTAAGGAAGAATGTACAGCTCTTAACACATTCTCATCTGTGGCAAATCAGAGCTGTCATCTTTCCAAGAATCTCTTCAATCCAACTGTGCATAAACAGACTCTCCACCTTAAAGAATCTAAAGCTATGTTTAACTAAATCAGTTTTCTGTACACCAGAAATTTATACAACACTGTAAACCAACTATACTTTAATTAAAAATAAAAATCTAAAACCAAAAATAAGGCAGGGACTTTGTAGAGATTTGAAGTCAGGATCTGAAGAGTCAAGCTAGACTGTATTATTTACTAGAGAGCAGGGCTTCCCTGATAGCGCAGCTGATGAAGAAGAGTCTGCCTGCAACACAGGAGACATGGGTTTGATCCCTGGGTTGGGAAGATACCCTGAAGAAGGGCATGGCAACCCACTCCAGTATTCTTGCCTGGAGAATCACCATGGACAGAGAAGCCCAGTGGGCCACAGTACATGGGATCACAAAGAGTCAGACATGCTGCTGCTGCTGCTATGTTGCTTCAGTCGTGTCCAACTCTGTGTGACCCCATAGACGGCAGCCCACCAGGCTCCACCATCCCTGGGATTCTCCAGGCAAGAACACTGGAGTGGGTTGTCATTTCCTTCTCCAATGCAAGAAAGTGAAAAGTGAAAGTGAAGTTGCTCAGTCGAGTCCGACTATTCGTGACCCCATGGACTGCAGCCTACCAGGCTCCTCCGTCCATGGGATTTTCCAGGCAAGAGTACTGGAGTGGGTTGCCATTGCCTTCTCCGGAGTCAGACACGACTGAGCGACTAAACACAGCACAGCACAGCATAGCCCCTACTGGTGAGGGTAGTACTGCAACCTAGCCCTGTAGGAAGCTGTCATCATCCAAACGAAAAAAGCCTGAAAAGCAAAGAGTCTTTCAAACCTGTAGAGTCAGGTTTGGTAAAGTTCAGGGGGTTAGGAACAAGGAGTAGAAGAATGAAACGTTAGATTTCAAAAGTATTACATTTTAAATTCTTATAAATCCTTCTTCCCAGTATTGAATAGCCTGCATACCACACGTCTGGTCACTACTTTGACTCCTACTGTTTCACCAAGCCTTCCACTCATTGACTGCATCAGTTTTAGCCAATTAACTTCACAAAGAATCCTCAGAAAACATATCTAGGCTACAAAATAAAAGCTACCTACAGAATTATGGAACAATATTTTGTAGATAAGAGAGGAAACATGCAACTTACAGAACCACAGTGAAAAAATAGACAAGTTGTAACTTTTGCATTTTTCCACATATTTGTCTTTTTCTGGCCCAGCTGAGTACTGAATCAAAACATTCAATAATTTCTGATGTTTTTATTATTATGCTGTATGTTTAGCTAACTTAGGAAGTTTACATACCAGTAAAGAAAATACAATTATCTCTCAGTATTTGTGGCAGATTGGTTCTAGGACCCCTAGTACATACCAAAATCCATGGATGCTCAAGTCCTTTACATAAAATGGAATAGTACCGTCAGGCCCTCCATATCCATGAATGCAGAAGCCGCTGATACTGACAGCTAACTGCATACAAATTAGGGCACACTGGCTACAAGGGCTAAACCAAGGATTCTGGTTGTGATCACTCCTGTTTCCCTATAAGTGCAATTCTCTATGTAAGCAAGATTTAATAAGCTAGAAGGTGATCAAACACTTACCTCTGAAAAAAGTCTACTTCCTGTAAAAATTTTTCACACATTCCGAATAAGGGGTCAACTCTGTAGAAGAAAAAAAAACAACAAAACAAACAAATAAAAACCCATGTTATTTGAAATCCAAGAACTGAGTAGTAAAGACCAAAGTCCCAGAAACTGAACCTACATGGAAAGACAATGAGCATATTACACTAAAAATTCTATTTCTCTTAAAGGACTTCTAAAGGACCTACAGGGAAACATTTGTCAGCAACCCAAGACCCAATTAAAACAGTACAGTGCTCATTAGGCTCAATGAATATTCAAAATCGAAGACTATCACAGGCACACTGGGCACCAGATTGGGTTCAGATATAGGACAGGGCAGTGCAATGCCACGTTCCTCCGTGCAACAGCCCAGGCAGCAACCCACAGAGCTCTCTGGGAGTTTTGACAGCTCAGGTTCAAGGAGATGAGATCTACATCAGGCCAATGTGGAGGCCATTTTCACAGAGAAACCTCATGCCTCATAGGTGCTAATATCTCTTGAAGTAACCCACAATTATACCTTCCAGGGTACCTAAAGGGATATGCTCAGTTGCAAGAATCACTGCACTCAGTGAAGGCCAAAGCTTTGGCATCTGCATCAGGTAATTAGAGTTCACTGATAGTTCCTTCTTGTTGTTGCTGTTCAGTCACTACGTTATGTCTGACCCTTTGTGAACCCGTGTACTATAGCCAGCAGGCTCCTCTGTGCATGGAATTCTCCAGGCAAGCACACTGGAATGGGTCGCCACTTCCTTCTTGAGAGGATCTTCCCAACCCAGGGATCAAACCTGAGTCTCCTACATGGGCAGGCAGATTCCTTACCACAGAGCCATCTGAGAAGTCCAATAGTTCCTTCTAGTCTATATGTAATTTTCTTAGAGATCATTTTTACCACAGCAGAGTCATCTAGTAATAGAGATGATGTGATCAGGTTTCCGGGAAACAGATTTGGAAACCAAAGGTCACATTCTCACGCAAAACGGAAAAAAGATTTTGTTACTACTTTGCACACAGACATAGACCATATTCTTTCCTCTCTATCTTGGCTTCTTTGGCCTCACAGTACTTTAAACTTAAATGTATACCTAATTTAGCCCAGGCAACATGCCAGGTCAATGTAACTTACTAATCAAAGAATAGATTTTTCCGTTGATCGTGGTGCATTTTATTTCTTGTAATTTCTGCATGGAATGTTCCATTTATTTTCATTAACACATCATTAATTGAAGGAATACAGCTCCAGTGAATAAAAAACAAACACTTTCCTTACATAAAAACATGTAAGAGGGACTGCCCTGGTGGTACAGTGGATAAGAAGCCACCTGCCAGTGCAGGGACGTGCACAACTACTGAGCCTGTGCTCTACAGACCTCGAGCCTACTGCTGAAGCCCGGGCGCCGTGAGCCTGTGCTCCACACCACGAGAAGCCACCACAAATAGAGAACGCCCTGGGCAGCAACAAAGGCCCAGTGCAAGCTAAAGAAAAGTAAGAGTGTGGGACCAAGGTTCTTAATAATCCAGCATTTCCTGAAACAAGCAGCTCTTCAATAACTATTTATTGAATGGATATATAAATGATAAATGGCAAATAGAAATGTATTCTAAAAGCAACATTAATCTGAATTATTTTCCTAAAAAGTGTGTAGCACTTGAATCTTCCTTAACTCTGAAAAACTACCAGAAGTGGAACTGAAATTTGCTAGTGAGGTTAACCAACCAAAGACCACCAAGGATGAGAGGGCTAGAGAGGACAACTCCAGCTATGTAGAGGCTGAACTGAAAGCAAGTGAGCCAAGTAGTACATTTTTTGGCCTGCTTACATACAACTAGTTTGGAGAATTTTCAAGCAGTAAAATATGAAAGGATTTGAGAACTCGTTCCAAACCCCCAAACAGAGTAGGTAGCCTCACCTACATGTTACATGAAGTAGGCCTCTACCACTAAGAACCCCCCATTTTCAGTGTAAGAGCAAGGCCCACTAGGGAAAACCAAACACTGACCTATAACTGTTAGGTAAGCCAATATCAATTACCAATTTAAATTGGTCTAAACTTTCACTTATAAGTATAAAAACACAATGAAAAATTACTAGATGTTATAAGGATGATCAGGAGCTGTCAAGGAAACCAAGAAGACCTCAATGAGATAATATCAAGGCAAAAAAGCACAGAAACCTTTTTTAAAAATTCTAATAAACAATCTCAGTAAGACTGAAGAGAAGATTTGAAACGATATTGCAATGATAAAGCAAGAAAAACTGCTACAAAAAAGCTACAGAAATAAACAATAATACTGAAATCAATTCAACAATTGAACACTAAAAGGAAAAATGATGAAAACTGAAATGGTAAATTAAAAGAGCATGCTGAGGAATTTACTCAGAATCTAAAGTAGAAAAAGAAACTGAAATTATGAGAGAAAAGATACAATGTAGGAAAAATAGAGCCAGATGATACAATATCCAGTATGACAGATTGAAGTGGATAGAAGAAGAAGTAATTAAAGAAATGATAGAGGGGAAAAAAACTCTGAGATAAAACAGAGCTAAGACTTCAAAGTCCCACTAAAGGTCAGTAAGAGCAAGCAAAGAAAACACAGACATATTCAGAAATTTCTGAATTCTAAAAAGAAAAGTTTGCAGCTTTGAGAAAAAATAAGCTAACTACAAAGGAAAGAGAACAAAACAGATATAGTAATATTTAGTTCTGAAAGAACTCCATTCCCATATGAAAGCAAAAGAAAGCTTTAGATATGCAAAGTCTCAATGAGTACACTACTTATGTACTTATTCTAAAAAACAATCACTAGTGAATGTGTTCCAGTCAGATACACAGCGAATTAGAACAGGGAATTTTAAAAGGCAACTGTAGGGACTTTCCTGGTGGTCCAGTGGCTAAGATTCTGAACTCCCAATGTAGGGGGCCTGGGTTCCAACCCTGGTGAGGGAACTAGATGCCACGTGCTAGAATTTAAAGATCCTGCATGCAGCAACTAAGACCAAACAGCCAAATAAATAATTTTTTTTAAAAAGACAACTGTAGTACAAAAACAGAAGTGGTGGGCAAGTTGGAGCTAAATAATTTTGACAATGTACTTATAAAGATTGATGCATATTTTAAGAAAGAATTCATAAAATAAAACATACATGAAAAACTATAATTCAACATACTGGACAGCACAAGGAACTATAGCTATTATCTTGTAATAACTTTTAATGAAGTATGATCTGTAAAAATAGTGAATACCTGAAACTAATATTGTAAATCAGCTATAATTTAAAAAAAGGATAATCTGAAACTAAATTCTAAATTATTTAACAATGTGAAACTAGAAAATAAAAGTATACTTAAACTTGTGTTTTGATTAAATGTGGTTTTGATAAAGGTGATCATAAATTCTATTTTTAATGCTAATAAATATAAGGTCAATCAATTTACTAAAAAATAAAAGAGTAAAAATACTATTTATTCAACTAAAAAGAGCTAACATTTATTAAGTGCTTATTCTTAATGTGTCAGGCAGTATTTTAAGGGCTTTACATATAAAAATTCAATAATCCTTACAATAACTTTATGACAGAGATTCAGGTACTAACATTGTCCCAGTTTAACTTACAGGAAACAAATTGAGAGACATTCTTTTTTTTTTTTTTATGTGTACTATAATTTATTTAACCAGTTCCCATTGCATTGCTCTCAATTTTTCACATTTTTTTTTCTTTTTTTTTTTCACCCCACAGGCACCCGACAGGCGCCCGGGGGGTTCCCACCCTCCCCCTAATTTTTCACATTTATAAACAACCCTGAAATGAATGGCTTTATCTACAGATTTTTGAGTACCATATGGCCTTACTATAGTTAAGTTTCTAGATGAGAAAATATTAGGCCAAAAGATTTCTATATCTTAAATTTTAATAGCTTTTGCCCAAACCTTGCCCAAGGTTACTAAGTTTGCAAATGGTGGAGTTAAGATCTGAATCTAAGCTATGAGGCACCCCAGCCCTCTGAACCATTATTATGTTCTACTGTCTCTAATTTGAATAGTTTAAAATTTGAATAGTATAAAACCTCCAAACCCCTGGAAGAAGAGAGAAACAAAACAATCAATCCAGCAAAAATCAAGGAAAAAGAAAAAGAAGCAGGAATGCGTACAAATGGAAAATATAAAATAATATAGTATGAGGGACTTCTCTGGCGGTCCAAAGCAGGTGGCATGGGTTTCACTCCTGGATTTTACATGCCACAGAGAAGCAGCAAAGCAAAAAAAAAAATCCAGCAAAAATCAAGGAAAAAGAAAAAGAAGCAGGAATGCGTACAAATGGAAAATATAAAATATAGTATGAGGGACTTCTCTGGCGGTCCAATAAAAAAAAAAAAAAAAAAAATGAGTAGAGACCTAATATATTGGAATCTTATTAACAACATGGAAACATGAAATATCATATTGCTGGATCAAGTAAAAATAAGGCACAACAGACAAGTATGTTATGATTCAATCTATATTAAACATACATATTTATAATCTAAACAGATACTTAGGGGTTTTACAAGGGGTAGATTACCAGAGAACAAAATGTTTGCTTAATCTGCAATATTTGAATGTTTAAAATAATTCTATACAAACTGAAAAGGAAATCCATTTTCTTTAATAAAAAAGTGTAGATGCTATCACAAGCACTTATATATTCTCAGCTACAACTGGCACATAGCATGGATTTAACATTTGCTAAATGAATGTATGGCTATCTCTAAAATTAAGGTACCACCTGACCTTATCAGGTCACCATCAAGATAAGCAAAGAAATAAAACAACACTCAGAATGTTCTTCCTAAAAAAAAAAAAAAGAATGTTCTTCCTAATGTGTTTTTTAGGTGCTTACTTAAACACTCATATATTTGTTTCTCTACATGATTTTAGTCTAACACAACTAGTGGACTGAGCATTAAATGTGTCTTCTGTCTGATAACAAGTTCCCTAAGTTCATATTATATATATGAAATCTTTGGTGCCATCACTCTTAAGATGCACTTTTATGAGACACCAAGAAACAAAAAACACTTTCAATCAAACTACAGAACATCATTAAAATATCTGATTTCAGAGAAGTTAAATTTTTTAAATGAACATTTCAGAATCAATGAAATAGCAATTCTCATTCTCAGAAAGTCTAACAGCTACCATTATAATGAAGTCTAACTATGTACCAAGTACCATGTTGATGATTTTACACATTTTACCCCATTCATTCTTCATGGCAGAAGACATTAAGAAGAGGTGGTAAGAATACACAGAAGAACTATACAAAAAAAATCTTCACAACCCACATAATCACAATGGTGTGATCACTCACCTAGAGCCAGACATCCTGGAATGCGAAGTCAAGTGGGCCTTAGGAAGCATCACTATGGACAAAGCCAGTGGAGGTGATGGCATTCCAGTTGAGCTATTTCAAATCCTAAAAGATGATGCTGTAAAAGTGCTGCACTCAATATGTCAGCAAATTTGGAAAATTGAGCAGTGGCCACAGGACTGGAAAAGGTCAGTTTTCATTCCAACCCCAAAGAAAGGCAATGCCAAAGAATACTCAAGCTACCACACAATTGCACTCATCTCACATGCAAGCAAAGTAATGCTCAAAATTCTCCAAGCCAGGATTCAAAGGTATGAAAACCATGAACTTACAGATGTTCAAGCTGGATTTATAAAAGGCAAAGGAACCAGAGATAAAATTGCCAACATCTGTTGGATCATCAAAAAAGCAAGAGAGTTCCAGAAAAACATCTACTTCTGCTTTATTGACTATGCCAAAGCCTTTGACTGTGTGGATCACAAAAAACTGTAGAAAAGTCTTAAAGAGATGGGAATACCAGACCACCTTAACTGCCTCTTGAGAAATCTATATGCAGGTCAGGAAACAACAGTTAGAACTGGACATGAAACAACAGACTGGGTCCATATTGGGAAAGGAGTACATCAAGGCTGTATATTGTCACCCTGCTTATTTAACTTCTATGCAGAGTACATCATGAGAAACACTGGGCTAAATGAAGCACAAGCTGGAATTAAGATTGCTGGGAGAAATATCAATAACCTCAGATATGCAGATGATACCACCCTTATGGCAGAAAGTAAAGAAGAACTAAAGAGCCTCTTGATGAAAGTGAAGGAGGAGAGTGAAAAAGTAGGCTTAAAGCTCAACATTCAGAAAACTAAGATCATGGCATCTGGTCCCATCACTTCATGGCAAACAGATGGGGAAACAGTGGAAACAGTGACAGACTTTTTTTGGGCTCCAAAATCACCACAGATGGTGACTGCAGCCATGAAATGAAAAGACACTTACTCCTTGGAAGAAAAGTTATGACCAACCTAGACAGCATATTAAAAAGCAGAGACATTACTTTGCCAACAAAGGTCCATCTAGTCAAGGCTATGGTTTTTCCAGTGGTCATGTATGGATGTGAGAGTTGGACTGTGAAGAAAGCTGAGCGCCGAAAAATTGATGCTTTTGAACTGTGGTGTTGGAGAAGACTCTTGAGAGTCCCTTGGACTGCAAGGAGATCCAACCAGTCCATTCTAAAGGAAATCAGTCCTGAATATTCATTGGAAGGATTGATGCTGAATCTGAAACTCCAATACTTTGACCACCTGATGCGAAGAGCTGAGTCATTTGAAAAGACCCTGATGCTGGGAAAGATTGAAGGTGGGAGGAGAAGGGGACGACAGAGGATGTGATGGCTGGATGGTATCACCGACTCGATGGACTTGAGTTTGAGTAAATTCCGGGAGTTGGTGATGGACAAGGAGGCCTGGCGTACTGCAGTTCATGGGGTCACAAAGAGTTGGAAATGACTGAGCGACTGAACTGATTCTTCATGGAAACTTTATGAGATAGATGCTGTCATCATTCTCATTTTACAGGCGGGGAAACAAGGCACAGAGAGGCAGAAAAAAAAAAAACAAACCTGCCTGTAATCAAACAATGAGTAAGTAGAAAGGTCAAGATTTGAACAAAGTAGTCTCACAGCACCAGACAGTCTCAAAATTTGTCTTTGCTGCCTGAGACAAAGCACTAGTCTCTTCAAAAGAGAAAACAAAATGGTTCAGGCACTAAATTCTTAAATCTATCAGGGATCATATAGTACACTTTGTGGCCAGATGAAATCTTATGCTCTGCTGTAGGCAATGGAGAGCCACTGAAGGGTTTTGCTAGGGATCTAATATGATCTAAGAATGGAATTTGGAATATCTCAAGAAATGAAGAGCTTGCAATATCCCTTAGGTGAAAAGTAACACTGAAAGTGTTAGTCCTTCAGTCATGCCTGACTCTCTGTGACCCCATGGACTGTAGCTCCCCAGACTCCTCTGTCCATGCCATTTCCCAGGCAAGATTACTGGAATGAGTTGCCATTTTCTTCTCCAGGGGTTCTTCCTGACTCAGGGATCAAACCCAGGTCTGTTGCATTGTAGACGGAATCTTTACTCTCTGAGCCACCAGGGAAGTCCATCCCTTATGTAATCTTTCTGAAATATAATTTCATGCATCATTAACCTTGGTGAGATCTCTGAACGCATTTTTAGGTGTCTTTAAAAGGACTGGGCCACCCTTTTTTTGCCAACCACACATCTTACCCTCGAGCAGTCCGTGCTGTTACTATAAGTTGCAAGGCTTTGGCCTGCAGCCTCATGTGATGGATAATCACCACCTGCTTGTTCTCCACGCCACTATACATGAACTCCATTTTATAGGTTTCTTCCATGATCTATAAGGAAAACAGCAGCACAGAATTCTAAGTGAAACTAGATCTGAACAGAGGTTTTTTTTTTAAAGCCTCTGCTTTAATTCTGAGCTGAGATTTTTAAGTGCCTATGTTGACAGAAATTGATATAATTTGAGAGAAATTAATATATATGTTGAGAGAAATTAGTAAGTCGTGAAAAGAGAATAAATTATTTTGTCAATTAAAATAAACTCATCTGGTAATATTATTCAGTTGATGACAGACAGATATGAAAGTTTACCTACTGATAACACTGTAAAGCACTGCTTGTAACTCTAAAGCAAACTCACTGTGCGTGGCAGCAAATGGATATGTACAGAAACATAAACTTCAAGAAAGGCCCTCAAGAATTTAGTGTCAGGAACCATGACCCAGCTGTTAGTCATTTAGTCTGCTCCACGAGCTGGGTCTGTCAGAGGGATTTTAGGGAGGGAATCAGTGCAGAAAACAGTATCAGTCATCTCAGCTCAAGCCCAGTGCATCTTAAGCTCTTGTTCCATTCTATCCAAGGTAGCGACTCCCCTCTAATGATGTTTCTCTTTCCTTCCTGTGTTTTTTGAAGGCACTGAGTCAGAGAAATGACTCCAGGTTCTCCTACAACTGACAGTAAGATATATTTCCTAATGACACGGTGCTTCAGTTTCCTTAACTGTAAATGCAGAAGACACAGCACCAACATAATAAAATTTAAAGGATTAAACGGGGCATGGAAGGTGATTAACAGTAACTGTCACATGAAAGTGAAGTATTAGTCATTCAGTCGAGTCTGGCTCTTTGTGACCAATGAACTATACTGCTAGGCTCCTCCATCCATGGGATTTTCCAGGCAAGAATACTGGAGTGGGTTGCCATTTCCTTCTCCAGGGGATCTTCTTGATCCAAGGATTGAACCTAAGTTTCCCATCTTGCAGGCAGACTCTTTACCATCTGAGCCACCAAGGAAGCCGAACTGTCACATAGCAATGGGAATCCCTTTCTGTCTTCCAGAATACTGCTCCCTGGTCCAATCGCTCCCAACACGGCCCATCTCCATCTCCAGCCTGTAGTCATTAAGTTTACCCCCCTACAAGCCACATGGCAGGTCTGAGAAGGGGGCCAGATTAGAGATCAAGCGGACTAGTGGAAAGAAAGCAGACTCTGGGTATCAGAGGATCTGAGGTCAAGTCTCTGATTTACTACCTATAGCTCTCTGATTATAACCTTGCTGAGTGCTGTTTCATCTGTAAAATGGACTCAATACTTATTGCTACCCAATGGGATCTGTGTGTGTATAGCTGTGCCATCAGAGAAGGCAATGGCAACCCACTCCAGTGTTCTTGCCTGGAGAATCCCAGGGATGGTGGAGTCTGGTGGGCAGATGCCTATGGGGTCGCACAGAGTCAGACACGCCTGAAGCGACTTAGCAGCAGCAGCAGCTGTGCTATGCCCCTTTCAGGATCTTAGTTCTCTGACAGGGACTGAACCCNAGCAGCAGCAGCAGCTGTGCTATGCCCCTTTCAGGATCTTAGTTCTCTGACAGGGACTGAACCCGTGCCCCCTTCATTGAAAGCACAGAGTCCTAACCACTGGACTGCCAGGAAGTTCCACCTAATGGGATTATTATTAGGATTAAGTAAAACAGACTTGAAATCATTTCGTGAACTATAATGTAACAATTATAGTCACCACCATTTGCTTCCTACTGGGTCATAATTAGTCATATATAAACTTACTATTAGGAAGACATAACCCAGAAGAGTTCCCAAATGCCAATATCCATAAATGAAGGGAAATTGCTCAAAACTAGAAAAGAAAGACACTTAAGGCAAGTAAAATTAAATTCTACTTAATGAACTGAGGAGAAACATAAGGACCTTTAAATATTCAAAAGATGGTTAAAGAAATGAGAGAGATGGCACAGGCTGAAAATATAAACAACCTCAAACTGAGTGCAGCTACATTTTCAGATGAAATATTCATAATATTATAATTCAATTTTAGTATATCTGAAATTTGTTGTTGTTTAGCCACTAAATTGTATCCAACTCTTTTGCAACCCCATGGACTACCAGGCTCCTATAGCTCACCAAGCTCCTCTATCCGTGGGATTGCCCACGCAAGAATACTGGAGTAGGTTGCCGTGTCCTTCTCCAGGGGATCTTCCCAACCCAGGGATCAAACCTGCATCGCCTTCACTGGCAGGCGGATTCTTTACCACTGAGCCAACAGGGAAGCCCCCATTTCTGAAATACAAATTAATAATTTTTGAGAACACAAAATAAATCTTAGATATCGGGGAGATTAAGTAACCTGCTCTATATCACCCAGCAAATCAGAGGCAGACATGGGAACAGAACTGAAGTCCCCTGACTCGAAAGCCAGGGCTGTGTCCCCTAATTATGCTGCTCCTCGTATCACTAACTTCTGTCACAGGCTGAAAGTGGGGAGCCCAGCAGAGCCTTGTGAAGTCCTCTGACTCTAACTAACTTACAGAACACAATTTCTGGACAAATACCTATCTGAGGAGAAGGTCTCAATAAGCTTACCTGTTTTGCTGCTGCTGAGGCCAAATCACTCTGCTTCAAATATAAAGGGGCAGCCACATTCCACAGCTTTTCCTGTAGGGCCTAACAAGTCAGCAGAAGACAGGACACAGAGGTCAGAAAGACTGCCATACCATTTGAGACTTAGGTGTTTGTTTTGCTTTGAAAATTTACTGTGATCAAGACTTTCTCTCAGTCTTACTCTTTTAAGCCAATAAGCCTTACCTGTTACGACAGAGTGGAAACCAATGATTTGGGCCAAATGCAATCCTCCCCGTTCAATTCTTGGCCCAAAGTCCCCATGCCCCAGACCAGAGAATGCAAGCAGAGTGCAGGAGACATGAAGGCCTCATCACAATGTCCAGGCAGGCTAGGCTTCTGAGGCTCTGGGACCTCCTAATCTCAAAGCCCATAGACTATCCTGACAGCCCAGACCCCTTGACTTGATTCCTTTTTCTTTGCTCTATGCCCACTATCTGTGAACAGCCCCATCACCTGACCAACATACTCAAATAAAAAATCAAGAAGCTTTCCTAGATTCCTTGCTCTCTAACTCTCTATATTCAAAACTATCACTTAGAGCCATGAATTTTACCTTTCATCTCTCTTCTCTCCTATCCATCCATATGGCGTCTCATCTAAACCTCTGCTATAGTCTCTTATTTTCATAGTCCTTCTTAATTATAGACATAATGACAGTTCAGAAAACCTAGACTTACACTGTACAATAGAAATATAATAACATAAGCCATGGATGTGATTTTATATTTTCTAGTAGTTACATCTCTGAAATTAAAAAAAAAAGAAAAATAACAATAACCAAAAACAGTAAAAAGAGACAGGTGAAATTAATTTAACAATACAGTTTATTTAACCCAGTTTATCATATCACTATGCAATCAATATTTTAAAAATTATTAACGAGATAGTTCAAATTTTCTCATACTAAATCTAAGAAATCCAGTGTGTATTTACACTTACAGCACATCTCAATATGAACATTTAAAGTGCTCAACAGTTACATGTACCTAGTGACTATCAGACAGTGGCAAGTCTGGAGTAAAAAAATAGAAATTTTTAAATTATACTACTAAATTATACTACCACTAACAGAGTTACTGTTTTCAAATATTTGCTTCCAATAATTTCTCATATACATGCTTTTTATATAGTTGTAGTCAGAAATCAGAGTAATTTTGTATGCTCTTTGGGGTGTGTGTGCACTAAGTCACTTCAGTCAGTTCTAACTTGTTGCAATCCTATGGACTGTAGCCCACCAGGCTTCTCTGTCCGTGGAATTTTCCAGGCAAGAATACTGAAGTGGGTTGCCATTTCCTCCTCCAGGGGATCTTCCTGACCTAGGGATCGAACCCACACCTCTTAGGACTCCAGCATTGGCAGGTGGGTTCTTTACTACTAGCGCCACCTGGGAAGCATTTGAGTACGTAACATTATATCACATTTTGAAGTAATCTCTTCTCTTTCCCTACTAAAGAAAAGTAGATTCTTTTCAAAGGCCTTTTTGTATTCCAATGCAGAAGACAGGAAGCCAAGGAAGAAGGAAGAAGACCAATGATGACATGGCACTCACTATGTACCAGACAATAGACCAAGGATTTTCACATGCTGCTTGCTACCAATTCTTACCTGGGTAGAGTAATTATTAGCCTTATTTTATAGAAACTTGGAAAAGCCAAATAACTGTGTAAAGGTGCATAAAGGAACTTTGGGGCGTAATGGAAATGTTCTACATCTTAACTGTGCTAGTGGTTACAAAGGTATATATATTTGAATGAATCTATCTAGCCAATTTAGGACTGTTTAAATCCCAACCTACTTCACTGTACACATCCATCTTCACATGTATACATACACCTACATCACCCTAAAATCACATATCTTACAGTGTATAATAATTTCTGACTCCTCCATTTATTCTGACTTTGGTCAAATATCACTAACAACTTTGAAGACTAACAACACTTAGAACTAAAGCCAAGGTAAAGTCTTATCAAGTGAGAGGGCTCTCCCAAATCAGAAGTCTGAATTAATAGCAGGACTCTGCTGCAGAAGCTGACAGCTATTAAGCTAGTTTAATTGGTTTTCAATTCAGTAAACTGAAACAGTTTTTTGGTACTAACTTTGGTACTAATTTGGTACACACACACACACATACATATATATACATGTAATCTACCTACCTAGTATGAAATGCCAGCAAGTTGGCCCTTTTAGGAGCAATGAAATCAACTTTGACTAATTTGACTTTGATAAAATGAAATTAGCATTACAAATATATATATATATAAGTTTATATAAGATCTTTGCTAATCAAATGATTAAAAAACAGTTAAAATCGTTGGGATTCTAATGCAACTGATAATCCAATCTGCTCCAATTATATAATAAAAGAATTCTCCCAAATTAAAAAATTAAAGTTCCTATATGAGTTAACAATTCTTTAATTAGAGACAAATGTAATTATACTTCAGAGTACATAATTTCCCCATTGCTAAGCAGTTGCATAAGACCATATATTTTTCCACTTAAGGCCTCAAACACTGCTGAATCCATTAAAGTGCATTCTTAGCATCATATTCAAGAACAAAATGGATTCAAACCAACCTTAATGAGAAGCAGTTGACACCTAAGATAGGTAGCAGAGAAGTCAGCTACTCCTGCCAATTCAGACTGAAGCTCTCCAAGCCTTTGCAGATCCCTGCCATAAATAAAACCCCAAGTCAAACAGAGAATAAGGATAATGACAACAATTAAAGATCATGTCAAAAGCATTTACCATTTTATACCTAGCAAATTGTTTAAAAAAAAAATTTAAATGACAGAACCCAGTGCTGAAGTGGTTATAATGAAACTGGTTCATTTATATTTTGATAGCAGTTTAAGTTGATATATTTCTTCTGGAAAGTAAAACTGTAATACATTACAAAGGCACATATATAATCAAATAATTTGATAAGTAGTTTTATCCTGAGAAATAGCAGGGAAATATTCAAAACAAATGAAGTGTTTTATGCCCTACAATATTCACTGTTGTATGGACTATTATAGTAAAACACAGTAATTATTTAAATATTTAATGGTAGAGGAATTATTAAATAAATTACTGTACATCCATCCAGTCAATGGAATATTCTACAAGCATTAAAACATAATATGGTAATAAGGTATATGATCTCAATTACATAAAAACTATATATATATACATATACACACACACATAAGAAAAAGACAGCAAACTGTTTTCTGGATAGAGGAATTAGGGTGTTTTTGTTGCCTTCTCCCAACTATGCTTTATTTTCCAAATGTTTTACACAATGGACAGGTATGTTTTATATCATCAGAAAAAAATTTTTTAAAGTATTGTAGTGGGCTCTATTGGCTGCCTACCTAATTTATGCTCTACTTCTTCCTAATAATGTGAACCCTTCCTACTAAGTGAACCCTGATTTTGTTCAAGAGATGTCCCCAAACCTAGTTCTAGGTAGAGTCCAACTGGATTAAACCAATTGGTACATGTCATCTCCCTGGTTATTTGACCTTATCAGTCCTACTTAGAAGGAAAGGTTTTATTCTTTTTTTTTTTTTGGCTGTGATGTGTGGCATGCGACAATCTTAGTTCCTGACCAGGGATCAAACCTGTGTCTCCTGCAGTGGAAGCGTGGAGCCCTAACCACTGGTAAATATCACTAGCAACTTTGAAGACTAACAACACTTAGAACTAAAGCCAAGGTAAAGTCTTATCAAGTGAGAGGGCTCTCCCAAATCAGAAGTCTGAATTAATAGCAGGACTCTGCTGCAGAAGCTGACAGCTATTAAGCTAGTTTAATTGGTTTTCAACTCAGTAAACTGAAACAGTTTTTTGGTACTAACTTTGGTACTAATTTGGTACACACACACACACATACATATATATACATGTAATCTACCTACCTAGTATGAAATGCCAGCAAGTTGGCCCTTTTAGGAGCAATGAAATCAACTTTGACTAATTTGACTTTGATAAAATGAAATTAGCATTACAAATATATATATATATAAGTTTATATAAGATCTTTGCTAATCAAATGATTAAAAAACAGTTAAAATCGTTGGGATTCTAATGCAACTGATAATCCAATCTGCTCCAATTATATAATAAAAGAATTCTCCCAAATTAAAAAATTAAAGTTCCTATATGAGTTAACAATTCTTTAATTAGAGACAAATGTAATTATACTTCAGAGTACATAATTTCCCCATTGCTAAGCAGTTGCATAAGACCATATATTTTTCCACTTAAGGCCTCAAACACTGCTGAATCCATTAAAGTGCATTCTTAGCATCATATTCAAGAACAAAATGGATTCAAACCAACCTTAATGAGAAGCAGTTGACACCTAAGATAGGTAGCAGAGAAGTCAGCTACTCCTGCCAATTCAGACTGAAGCTCTCCAAGCCTTTGCAGATCCCTGCCATAAATAAAACCCCAAGTCAAACAGAGAATAAGGATAATGACAACAATTAAAGATCATGTCAAAAGCATTTACCATTTTATACCTAGCAAATTGTTTAAAAAAAAAATTTAAATGACAGAACCCAGTGCTGAAGTGGTTATAATGAAACTGGTTCATTTATATTTTGATAGCAGTTTAAGTTGATATATTTCTTCTGGAAAGTAAAACTGTAATACATTACAAAGGCACATATATAATCAAATAATTTGATAAGTAGTTTTATCCTGAGAAATAGCAGGGAAATATTCAAAACAAATGAAGTGTTTTATGCCCTACAATATTCACTGTTGTATGGACTATTATAGTAAAACACAGTAATTATTTAAATATTTAATGGTAGAGGAATTATTAAATAAATTACTGTACATCCATCCAGTCAATGGAATATTCTACAAGCATTAAAACATAATATGGTAATAAGGTATATGATCTCAATTACATAAAAACTATATATATATACATATACACACACACATAAGAAAAAGACAGCAAACTGTTTTCTGGATAGAGGAATTAGGGTGTTTTTGTTGCCTTCTCCCAACTATGCTTTATTTTCCAAATGTTTTACACAATGGACAGGTATGTTTTATATCATCAGAAAAAAATTTTTTAAAGTATTGTAGTGGGCTCTATTGGCTGCCTACCTAATTTATGCTCTACTTCTTCCTAATAATGTGAACCCTTCCTACTAAGTGAACCCTGATTTTGTTCAAGAGATGTCCCCAAACCTAGTTCTAGGTAGAGTCCAACTGGATTAAACCAATTGGTACATGTCATCTCCCTGGTTATTTGACCTTATCAGTCCTACTTAGAAGGAAAGGTTTTATTCTTTCTTTTTTTTGGCTGTGATGTGTGGCATGCGACAATCTTAGTTCCTGACCAGGGATCAAACCTGTGTCTCCTGCAGTGGAAGCGTGGAGCCCTAACCACTGGTACCCCCAGGAAATCCCCTGGAAGGACTCATATTTGAAACTTGAAGCAGGTTTGATGGTGGTCTCCAAATCACTCATGTTCCCGTTTTCTCTCTTACTAAACTGAATGTTTTATAGTCCTGATTACCAATGGCAGCCATACTGTAACTCTAAAAAAAGCCTTGGGATAAAGCAAATGTTGAGGACAAGAAAAATCCAAAGAGGCAGATAGAAACTGGATCCTTAATAATATAAATGAACTACTTAACCATAGCATACTTAGAACTAACAATCCATCTCAAGAAAATTCACAGAAAGCTGCCTGGTTTTTTAAGATCCATATCAAGATTTCATATAGTAATCGTAACTGTGAGAAACCTAAAGATTTGGCTAGTGAGAGAAATTAACTCTTTTCAGGGCTGCCATAATATATCAAGTTTCAGAGCAGTCTGTACAAAACTGTCCACTGTCCTCTTATCTCGGGCAACTTTCTGATAGCTAGTGCTGCCTCCTGAGGACCTTGATACCAAAAAGGAGATGCCCCGGAAAGGGACAAAGAGGGAATTATTTCCAAAGTGACTGAATAAATTGGGGTCTGTGGCTTACACTATTGTCTCTGAGTTTTGGTGGTTTGAGATGATCCTGGAGAGCCTGCTCATGTGTGGAAATCTATCACAACAAACGGCAAGACCCTGTACTAGCTAACCACACCTGTAAAATGGCATTTTGGTGGCCAGCTGGTCTCTCCCTTTTTGCACCACTAATACCTATCTTGCAAAAGATGGCCCTGAATCATTCTACTTTGGAACCATATGTTCTACAGACAGATTCTGCCTTCTCTTGCATTACAGAGAACACTGACAAGCTGACTACACATTAGCTGACCGTTCCCAAGTGTTAAGTCATTCTACCATCCTTGGACCGTAACTAACGATTATTCTGAGTCGCAGAAAACAAGATGCTACCCAACTAGCTACAGGAAATCTGAACTATTATACAAACAAAAACAGAAATTTTCTAGCCCTGCTCAAAACATTCTGTGTCCCAGTGTTTCCTCCCTGTATCTTTTTATGCCCACAATCCTTAGGAAGCCTCAGTTCAGACATTCATCAGGAGGCTATGGACTCGTTAATGAAAAAGGTACAAAAAGCACCGCCTACGTGCACTGTACTAGGTGTGAGGGGTGTTTCCTTACTTGAGCTCATTTAATCCCTACAATGTGACCTGCAATTACAGGCATACTTCAGAAAATCATGGGTTCAGTTCCAGACCACCACAAATAAAGCAAATATCACAATAAAGTTAGGCATGCAAACTCTTTCCCTGTACACATAAAAGTCATGTTTATACTACACCAGAGGTTACTAAGTGAGCAACAGCACTGTGTCTAAGAAAACAATACAAGTACCTTAATTTAAAAACAATTTTTGTTAAAAAATGCTAACGATCATCGGAGACTTCAGCAAGCTATAATCTTTTTGCAATAGTTACACTAAAGATCGCTGATCACAAATGACCATAACAAATATGATAATAATGGAAAAGTCTTAAATATTGTGAGAATTATCAGAATGTGAAAAGAGATACAAAATGAGCAAATGATGCTAGAAAAATGACAATGACTTGCTTGACACAAGCTGCCATGGAGTTTTGCCCCATCCCCCCACCCCATTTTTCTTGACGAATCTGGCTAAAGATTTATCGATTTTGTTTACTCTTCCAAAGGATCAGCTTTTAGGAATTTCACTGGTGGTACAGTTGGTAACAGTCCACCTGTCAATGCAGGGGGCCCAGTTGGGTTCAATCCCTGGTCCAGGAAGATTCCACATGCTGCCGAGCAACTAAGCCCAGAGCCACAACCACTGAAGCCCCTGCACCTAGAGCCGAGGCTCCACAACAAGAAAAGCCACCGCAATGAGAATCCTAGGCATGGCAACTAGAGAGAAGCCCTTGCTCTCTAAAATTAGGGAAAATCTACGTGTAGCAATGAAGACCCAATGCAACCAAAAATAAAATAATTTTAAAAAGAACCAGCTTTTAATTTCATTAGCCTTTTCTATTGCTCTTTTAGTCTCTTATTTATTTCTCCTCTGATTTTATGATTTCTCTCCTACTAACTTTGGGTTTTGTTTGTCCTTCTTTCTATAGTTGCTTTAGGTATAAACTTGGGACATTTGAGATTTTTCTTGGTTCTTGAGTTAAGATTGTATCGCTATAAACTTCCCTGTAAAGAACTGCTTTTGCTGCATCCATAGGTTTTAGATTGTAGGATTTTCATTTTCATTTTTCTCCAGGTATTTTTTACATTTCCTATTTGATTTGAAACAAGTCTTTAGATTTTAAATCTCACTATACTAGATCTTTTATATCATATACTGTTTATCCAGAAACAGAGCAGTATGCTGACAGAAGGACTAAAACAACCTATGCTCTAGTCTAGACCTTTGCTGTTCCTTGTCTTTGACAGTTTCCTCCCTTCTTCACTTGACTAATTTATATTCATTCATTCTTCTGGTCACTGCTTAAGCCATGAATGGAAGGGTTGAGTCCCCTCTTTCAACATCTTCTTTCAATACAATAAGTACAGAAAACCCTGTACCTAATGTATTGTGTGGGAAGCACAGTATTGCCTGCCTTATATACCCAACCAGGCTCTAAGATCCCCAGCAACAGAGACTATGTCTTGTTACGACTGTGTCCCTTTGGCCCAGCACAATGCTTGACGTACGATGGGTGCCGAAAAATCATATAACAAATTAATGAACCCAGGCTCCCTCACTCATTGTAAAAGTTGGCTAATTCTCATATGACTGTTTTCAAATTCAATGAAACAATGTACATAAAACACTTAGAAGAGTGCATACATAGTGGGCACTTAATAGAAAACAGCTCTTGTTATGAACAAGGATAGCAGAGCTTTACAAAGGATCAAATCCATGAGACTGAAGATGAGGTATGACCAGAAGAAAATGCCATCTATAAAAATCTTAGAAGTTTTCCTTCCTGGTTAAGCCACAACTAAAGTTTTCAACAAATACTTACTAAGCTCATATAAAGCACCCAAAATACAATGGTGAACTCAAAGTTATGTCAAATTCTAAAAACAACCAAAAATTCATCCCCCAGGACCGTCACTGAACTATTGTAGTGAGGTGAAATCTTAGTTGGGCGACATGGCTGCTTAGATTACAACAAAGGACAATGTGTATGACGATGAATTTTATTCATTTGATACTAGCACTAAGAAGTAAATGACCACAATCCTAATCAGAGAAACTTCTGTATGAAATTTGAACTAACAGTTCACTTTTCAACAACTACAGAAAATGTAAATTCTGAAGAATCCATGGGTCATCTGATCCATTCTTCACGGATATAAGAATCCCCTTTACTGGTGCATATCAGAGAGCATCAGTATCAGAGTCAAACAAAGCTAGACTTAAATCTCAGTTCTACTTCCTAACAAATTGCTCCATTTCCCCAAATTTCTACTTCTTCGTGAAATGGTTTACAACATCTAACTGCAATAATGTTTGTAAAACATAGTAGGTGATCAGCTAACTACTGTACCATCTGCTTTTCTTTCCAAATTTTTCACCATTCTAGCCAACTTTCTCAAGAATGCACTTAACGAAAAACACAGTGCCCAGGATGGACCACAGCAGTAGACCGGTCATCTGACCAGCCCAAAGCACAGCAGGACTATCACCTCATAAAACCCAGATAATGAGGGTGACTCAAACCAGGGTGTTTACTGAAGTCAAATGCCAGTGGTCTACCTAGTGGAGGGCCAGGGTGGATCTGAAAGGAATACTGTATAGCATCTTTGTGTTTCTGTTGTATATGGGTGATTCGGAGATTTACTGGTTTTTTTTTCTTTTTTTTTTTTCCAATTTTTTTTTATTAAGTTTTCTTTGGTTTAAAAAAAAAAAAGCCGGCATTGCAGCTGATGACCAAACAAGCTCACTTTCATACATTCTGTAATTTCTTAATGCCAAATGGTTAGTAAAGTGTCAAGGATAAAACTTAAATGTTTACTTAGGTGTGGCTGAGTCGGAAATAGAGTTTATTTTCCTAGGCTCAGCGCCAACAACTTCAGTAGCAGCCTCTAAATTTAATCACCTTGGTGAGGGAGCAGATGAGAAAGAAAATGTGATTGAGGAGCACTTCAGGGTCAGCAAACTTTTTCCATAAAGGATCAGATAGTAAATATTTTAGGCTTTGCCATCCATAGTGTCTCCATGGTAACTACTCAACTCGACCACTGCAGCAGGAAAGCAGCTGTTAAATGCTGTATCTCAATCAAATCCTATTTACAGAGACAGAGATACTGCCTTTGCTAAAGGCAAACAGGTCTCATTTCTTTTCAGATCATGCAGGACATTCCAACAGAGCCTGACAGTCTGCTGATTGTTATCAATATCCTTCCCTTCTTCCTCAGTCACCATGTGCTAACTAAGCACTGGTCACTTGGAACAAAAACTACCTTTCCTAGCTCCTCGCAGCTAGATATAGCTATGTGACTCAAGTTCTACTCAATGAGACACAAGGAAAATTAGAACATGCAACTTTGCGGGAAGTGTCTTTAAAGGGAGTGCTTGTAGAAATGATGCCCTTCTACTCTTTCCTGTTTTCTCGAGGCTGGATTATAAAGGAGACAGTTAAAGTTTGGATCTTCAGGCAAAGGCCACTTGATGCCGAAGACTGAGAAACAAGAAAGAATGAGTTTAGGTTATCAGCCACCTCAGCTGTCTGCCTATGAGAAAGAATTAACTTTTCCTCTTGTTTAAACCACTATTAGTTGCATTTTCTGCTACTCAAACTAATACATATATAAAGGTAAGAAAAGCTGAAAACAGCTTCTTTGCTAACTCTTTCTTGTTTTGTACTAATCATCAATCTAGTCATGAACACAAACCTTTTCTTTGTAATATGCTTAAACCACAATCTAATCCAAAATAAAAACATCATAAAATCATGTCAAGAGTCAGAAAAACCAGCCTATAACCAACATTAGAAATCATAAGGGTCAAGCCAAGCATAATGACATTAACTCTGTCAAAGGAAAGGGATGATCAGTCACCTCACCTGATGGTGAACTCTAGCAGCTCCTGGGTTCCCTGAGGGTCGAGGTGCTGAAGACTGTATACCCTTTCAAGGCTCTGCTGCAGGAACTGATGGGAAGGATCCTCATGAGGTGTGATATTGGGAGAAAGACCCGATGACACTAGTTTTCTACCTGGTAACTAAAAAAACACAGTGGGTTACAGCACCATCAAACTCTGTGGCTCAACTTCTGGTAACACAAAGAAACCAGGGGAAAAAATGTGAGTCAAACAAAGAAAAGGAAAAAGAGCTAGGTAATTCTGTAAATAATCTTTTTCTCCTTCCTCAGCTTAAGTGGGAGAAAGGGAAACAGAGAGAGAAAATAAACATGGTCTACCCAATACAGCGAGCCACAAGCTGCAAGGAGAAAAAGAAAAGAGAATGGTATAATATTATTTTCTATTGTTAATTGAAATAAATGGGCTAACCACACAAATGAGACTAAAAATTAATGCCACATTTATTTTTAACCTTTATTGATCATTCACTTCATAGAAGACTGATGATTTATTCCCAAGTAAATTTTTGTATTAAAAAACATTTATAGCATGCTATAAAAATGTTTTACATTATGATAATTGATAATTCTTGTTCTTACTGTTAAAAGTGGCTACCTTTCAAGAAAGGGATGAGAAAGAGAGAGAGCAAAAATTTCAATTTTAACTTAGTATCTTCTATATAGTTTAAATTTTCTAACCATATACATATATTATTCTAATTTAAGTAATTTAGAGTTATTTAAGTAGGGATAAGTAAATTCATATAAAGAGCTTAACAAAGTGCCTGCACACAGCACTGGGTGTTTGCTATCATCATCATTATGGTTCTGATACTGATAATTTTTTCTTTCTGTAACTCTTAGGTTTTTAAAATAACATTTTATTATTAAAAAATAAACTTGAGAATCATAGCTTTATGTAATTATTAAAATGTAATAGGATCTAATCCTTGATTTAAAATACGCTGTTCCAAAAAATAAAATATGCTGTTCCAGAAACTTCCCTGGCAGTCCACGCTTCCAAAGCAGGGGGCGTGGGTTCGATCCCTGGTCAGGGGTCTAAGATCCCACATGCTGTATGAGGTGGCCAAAAAATTAAAAAATAAATAAATAACATAAGAAATGTTCCAGGCTTCTTCTTGCCTAATATAACACAGTCAATAACCCAGGTACAATCAAAAAATGAATCTTCTTAAAAGGTAAAGGATTCAGAAGCAGGAGTACAAAATAAGAGAGAAAGAGAATTAATGACTGTGTTTTCAGAAAATATATAGTCTGCTTTCTGCCATTTACCAAGGACTAAAAATCAAAAAAAGCAACAACAGGGAGAAAAGATGTTTTCAACATACCCTCAAGGCAGGAACAAGATGAGAAAGACTGTCTCGAAGGTAGGCATAGTGCCTGAAGGTATGATCTGAGAACAATGCAGGCATCGTTGGACAGGTTTTAGCAGCATTGAAAATAAGAACCAAAACTGCAATGTCTGATGAATATGTGGGTTAAGTAAACTTGGAAGTATTGAAGGTTGAGTCTGGCCAGAATTTTGTACCTCTACTTCTAACCCCTCAAATTCCTACTAAATGACTACAATTTTTCTAACAAACAAATGCAGATTCAAAGAGCTACACAACCTCACACCAAATTTTACCAATTACTGCTCCCCCCATTACCAAAGAAAGGTTATTTTAAATTATGTTTGTTGACAAGAATACTAACAAATACAAACTTTGGTACAATGCCTACCAAAATATATACTAGCACAATCTCTTTGAATAATAACTTGATACAAGATTATAGGTTTCCCTGGTGGCTCAGTCAGTAAAAAATCTGCCTGCAACGCAGGAGACCCGCCTGAGTGCAAGAGACTCAGGTTCGAGCCCTGGGTCGGGAAGATTCCCTGGAGAAAGAAATGGCAACTCATTCCAGTATTCTTGCCTGGGAAATCCCATGGACAGAGGAACCTGGTGGGCTACAGTTCATGGGGTTGNGTTGGGAAGATCCCCTGGAGAAAGAAATGGCAACTCATTCCAGTATTCTTGCCTGGGAAATCCCATGGACAGAGGAACCTGGTGGGCTACAGTTCATGGGGTTGCAAGAGTTGGACACAGCTTAGCGACTAAACCACCACCCTAAGAGACTTATGAATGCTGAGTGATTCCACATCTCAAATTCAAACAGAGAATCATTCAAATAACAGCAAATAATCAGAAACAATCTTAATGTCCGAAACCAGGAGAACAATTATACTTCTGTTTCATCTATTTGATGGAGTATCATGCAATCATTAAAAATTACATTTATTAAAGATGTTTAGTGCTCGCTTCGGTAGCACATATACTAAAATTGGAACGTACAGAGAAGATTAGCATGGCCCCTGCGCAAGGATGACACGCAAATTCATGAAGCGTTCCATATTTTTAAGTTCCTTCTGATAAAATTTCATGGCAATGAAAAAAAAAAGTTTAATATTGTATCTTAGAAGTGTTTTACTATAACTGAAAAAAGTAGGCTCCAAAATGTATAGGGGATATGACAGCAGCTGTCATCAAATGTTTTTTGATGAAATAAAATGTTTAAAAAATAACAGCAAAATCCCAAATCCAAGCTTTTAAAAAGGGAGAAGGGCAGGTGGGGAGGCAGGAAGGCACCTCTTGGGCTCTAGGGCTCTGGGCTCTAAGCTCAACCTGGTCACCACCTGGTTGCAGAGAGGCTGCCTCCCCGCCTCCCTCTGGTCTGTCCCAGCCTCCTCTATTGCATCCACTCCCACTGCCCAGGAAGGCCATGGGGGGAGTAATCGCTGCTTTCTCTTTCCCTTTCCCATACCCGCTCCTCCGTCCATCCGCAGGCCCCCACCTCAGCCATGGCCAGGCTCAGGGTCCTGCGGGGTCCTGTCTGAAGCCAAGCCAAGGTGGATGTGTTAAATGAAGACCTGTGTATTAAGACAGAGAACCTGCTTGGGAGCTATTTCCCCAAGATTTCTGAGTTGGATGCATTTTTAAAGGAGGTAACTCTCAATGAAGCCAACTAGAGCAATCTGAAGGCCCTGGTGGGCAAGCCTGATCCAATCAAAGAGAAAGAGAAGGAGGAGGGGAAAAAAACAGCAGGAGAAAAAGGACAAGATGAAAAGAACAAAGGGGAAAATGAAGACAAAGGTCTTCCATGATGTAGTAAGCTGCAATGAGAAGACTGGGGTCCTCCTGCAGCGTGTGAAGCTTGAAATCAAGGATGTCACTGAGAAGCTAAACCTGGTCACCACCTGGTTGCAGCTGCAGATACCTCAGACTGAGGATGGGAATAATTTTGGAGTGGCTGTTCAGAAGGTGTTTGAGCTGATAACTGCCCTTCACACCAAACTGGAAGGCTTTCGCACACAAATCTCCAAGTACTTCTCTGAGCACGGTGATGCCGTGACCAAAGCAGCTAAGCAGCCCCACGTGGGTCTTATTGACAACTGGTGCAGGGGCTGGAGGAGGCAGAGTACCAGGATATCTGACCGATGATCATGGAGCTCTGCAATGCTTACGCTGTGTTATACAACATCATCCTGAAGAATTTCTAAAAGCCCAGGGAAGAAATGAAGGGAATGATCTATTGAGAGCTTCCTCTCATACTGTGATGGGTCCAGCAGAGACCTTCTGAATTTTACAGGGAACTCCACACTTTCCCTACCCTCTGCATGTTGAGGTTGCTTCCTCACCTTGCTTCCTAGGCACAATAAATACAGTCATACCATTGCCAAAAAAAATAAATAAACAAAAAGGGAGAAGGAAGCACACCAAAATATTAACAATTACTTTAGCTGGTAAGACTCTGGCTGTTAAATATGAACTTTTTTTTCCACTTAAAATTTTTTTCTATGTGTATTAATTTTGTACCAGAGGGAAAATCAGAAATTAAAAACACAAGATAGGACTTCCTTGGTGGTCCAGTGGTTAAGACTCTGAGCTCCCAAGGCAGGGGACATGGGTTTAATCCCTGGTTCACGAACTAAGATCCCACATGCCTCTCAGAGTGGCCAAAAATTAAAAAGAAGAAGAAGAATATACAGCTACTATATCAGCAGCAGACTGCTTACCTCCAGACTTCTTTTACATTGAGAGAAAGACAAACAAACAAACCTGTAATTAACATTTAAGCTACATTTGAGGCAATCTCTGTTATTCGAAGCCAAACATACTAACATTATACTTTCAAAAATGTTTAGCTTTTGTTTTTTTAATGTGAAGGGGGCTTCAAATTTCAGGGCACTTTAATATATCCTGCATAATTTGTAGTAACTCCTAGCCCCCAAGTCAGATGAGCTGAATTTCAAACAACCATAGCATTGCACCTTTAGAGGTAACGTCAGGGATGTACCTTTCTTAGAGTCAGGCATTTGTTAGCACATCAATTACACAGATCTTTTAAAAAACTGTCCAAATGCCCTATGAAAATTTAAAAAAAGAATTAAGAGAAAACAATGGTCATCCCCAACAGCCAGTTATTTGGCTGGCTCACGTCTCTTAATAAATACCTCCTTAAACCTCATCAAAGGTGTGCTACAGAGTGAAAAGAAACGTGGAAGAGTATGGATGCATTGATGTAAATATATTCCCATTAGTGGAAAACAACCTGACTACATGCCATGCTGCCCAAAGCTATCCTAACACCCCTGAGCTTGTATTAGAGCTAGAGAATTCAGTGGAAGAGTATGGATGCATTGATGTAAATATATTCCCATTAGTGGAAAACAACCTGACTACATGCCATGCTGCCCAAAGCTATCCTAACACCCCTGAGCTTGTATTAGAGCTAGAGAATTCATGTACCCTAACTCAGCCCATCCTCTCCTTAAGGCTGCAAATCAAATGAAACATGGAATAAGAACGGGAAAAGTCCACAGCCTTTAAAACCAAATATGCCTGACTCTCTATCCCAGATTTGCTGCTGAAGAGTTATTTAACCTCTCTGGATCTCAGTTTCCTCATCTGTAAGCAGGGAACAATAACCTCCTTCCAGGGTTGTTTGGAAGATCAGTGATAAAATATATGAAGTATTTAAACAGCATGTGGAATATAGTATATTTAAACAGTAGGTGGAATATATATATGTGGAATACAGGTATTCAATAAATGGCTAAAAAATTAGTAGTAGTATTCAATAGCAAAGGTGAATTACTGTGAATACAGAAACGAAAGCTGAGGAAAATAATTATCACTAGGTTGCCTCAGGATATACTTTTAACTAAAAGAAATGAGAAAGAGAAAACAAAATCCAAGACCTTCAGACCACCAAAGCTACACTGCAGAAAAAGAGACCAAAATTTCCTGCTAAGTCAGCAGAGGATACAGGCCGGATCGTCCATGTCTGGTTCAGCTGTGTCAAAAAACGGGTGGGTGCTCAGCAGCTCAGGCACCAAGGGAAGCACCAGGGTTGGATGCCGACTTCCCAGAAACTTTAAGCATCTGAAAGAAACAGAATGAGGGCCCTCTTTAGTAAGTTAATAAATGCTTTAAAAAGCACCAGGAACTGGAATCAGAAAACATGCATCAGAAAACATGAATCAGAATTACAAATTCTCAACCATCTACTTTTGTGACTTCTGTGACTTCTGATAAGTCATTCAATTATTCTGGAACTCAATTAATTCATCTAAAAACTTGGTTATTATAGAGATAAAAGGGCTGATATAGCAGATATTTCTCAAAGTTATGTAACTAATAACCATTTCCCCCAACTTCACTGCCAAGAGACCCTGATTTTACTCAGGCATCAGGTAGGTAGTAAAGTACTCAATGAAGGTAGGCTCAGCCCTAGGGCTCAACCATAACTGGTCTAAACTCATCAGGGCAAAATGACTGAGGATGGTGATGATAAGCTACGAAATAAAAAGATGCTTGCTCTTTGGAAGGAAAGGTATGACAAATCTAGACAACGTATTAAAAAGCAGAGACATCACTTTGCCAACAAAGGTACATATAGTCAAAGCTATGGTTTTTCTGGTTGTCGTGTACGGATGTGAAAGTTGGACCATAAAGATGGCTGAGTGCCAAAGAATTGATGCTTTCGAATTGTGGTGCTGGAGAAGACTCTGGAGAGTTCCTTGGACTGCAAGGAGATCAAACTAGTCAATCCTAAAGGAAATCAACCCTGAATATTCACTGGGAGGACTGATGCTGAAGCTCCAATACTCTGGCCACCTGATGGCAAGAGCCAACTCATTGGAAAAGACTGATGCTCGGAAAGACTGAAGGCAAAAGGAGAAGGGAGAGGCAGAGGATGAGATGGTTAGATAGTATCACCGACTCAAATGGACATGAATTTGAGCAAACTCTGGAAGATAGTGAAGGACAGGGGAGCCTGGTATGCTGCAGTTCATGGAGTCGCAAAGAGTCGGCCCCTACTTAGTGTCTGAACAACAACAACATCATGGCAATCCCAATCCCATTTTATAGTGACTGGTTCGCAAGTAGTCAAGTAACCTAGTTCTGGTCAATGGAACGGGAGGTCAACTCTGCTGGGGAATTTCTCAGCAATGTTTTCCTAGCCAAATGAAAACAAGTGCATGCAAATGAACATATCTATGAAACAGAAACAAACTTACAGATATAGAGGACAGATTTGTGGTTGCCAAAAGGGGACATGGGTGGGGGAGGAAAGGATTTTGAGTCTGAGATTAGCAAGTGGAAACTATTATATATAGGATGGATAAACAACAAGGTTCTACTGTATAGCACAGGCAACTATATTCAATATCCAGTGATAAATCATAATGGAAAAGAATATGAAAAATAACATATGAATATAACTAAATCACTTTGCTATATAGCAGAAAGTAACACAACATTATAAAGCAACTATAATTCAATAAATTTTTTTAAGGAGAGAGAGAGAAAAAAATGCATAGAGGGAATGCTCTTTTCTTTCTCTCTTAAGGTATTGTCTTATGAGACAGCCATTTTGCAACGATGAGTAGAAAGCCAACAGAATAACAACAACAAAAAATTCAACCAGAGTACTAATCGTGTTAAACTGTTGAATGACCAACCCTGAAATCAACTCTGACTTTTTTGTTAAGCAAAAAAACTAGACAGTATTTAAGCCCCTTTTAATCAGATTTTCTGTTACTTGTAGACAAAAGCATTCTAACTGATTTACTAGGTGAAGTTCTAAACTCAGAAGAGACCTGATCTGAAACAAGAAACTTAGTAACTATGTGGCCTTGAACAGATATATTTCTTACCTACAAATCAGATAAAATATAATTACCTCATACAGTTGCTACAAGGATTAAACAAAATAATGAAAAGTATTTAGCAAAGTGTCTGCCATTATATAATAAGAACTCAATTAACTATTAGTTTAGTTATTATTAATTGGCTATTAGTTAACTACTATGACTACATGAATGCCCTTTATAAGGCATAAAAAACTACATACATGCTGGTATTTAGGCATTTTTCTTATTTTTAATAAATTTCTAGTGTAGGAGGTATGAATTAAAGAGAAACATAGAACTTAATTTAACGCTCTCATTGAGTTTATAATCTGATGCAACGATGACTAACACTACAAGGTAATGAACTATTAAATGACAGTTTGATATCATTTTCTTTGCACCTGTCAAAGGCAGAAGAGATCACTGTGACCAGAGAAAGTTTCACAAAGGAGATGAGTCTTCATCAAGGACTGGAAAGTAAGATCAGCAAAAGAGAGAAAACAAACCCCATGAACAAACTGATAGGAGTATGGGGTATGAAAGGCATCACATTCAAAACACTTGATACTCAGGAAAGTACACTTTTCCCCAGTCTTGATTTCCTTCTGTGTGGAAAGAACTTAATTCTCTAGTTTTCCGACCTCTCTCAGCCCTTTTACTCACTATGCCTCAGGGGACATTGTATCCCCACATCCCAAATGACTGAGTGCTCCCTGAAGGCAATCAAGAAACACACAATGAATTGAGCTGAAAAAACATGAAGAAATGCAAAACAGAAAACCAGATAATAGAAATATTACCTACAACAAGACTTCCTGGAATTTTTAACTTTTAGTATATCTTGATTTGGCCTGATTTGTACCTGATTGGACCCATGGTTTTTCTAATTTTGGTAATAATTTTTTAAAATAAATCATATATTTGGAGTGATCTCATCATGTAAATTCATTGAAATATGTGGAGTACAACAACGAACAGTTCATAGTAAATGTTCCAAATAGGAAAAGGAGTATGTCAAGGCTGTATATTGTCACCTTGCTTATTTAACTTATATGCAGAGTACATCATGAGAAATGCTGGGCTGGAGGAAGCACAAGCTGGAATCNGGGGCAGGAGGAGAAGGGGACAACAGAGGATGAGATGGCTGGATGGCATCACTGACTCGATGGACATGGGTTTGAGTGGACTCTGGGAATTGGTGATGGACAGGGAGGCCTGGTGTGCTGCAATTCAGGGGGTCACAAAGAGTCCGACACAACTGAGCAACTGAACTGAACTGATGCCAAGTAGCTCTTCAAACAGCAATTCATGAACAGTGTTAAGCCTAATTCTAAACTAGAGGTAATCCAGGGAATCATGATTTTCCATCTGAAGATCAAGTACTTACCCTCCCTCTAATCTTTACAATGATGGTAATAGACAAAGGAGTGATTAACATCATATAGGAGGAAAAGGGAATCTACAGACTCATCTCTGTATCTCCAAAAGTTACCACAGGGCTTGGTACATAGTAAGCACATGGCAGGCGTATTATATTTGCTAGGTGGACGGATGGACAAATGAATAACCTAAAATATGATATTCAGTTTAGGAACCAGACTCTTAAGGGTATGGCTAAGTTGAATCAGGTTTCTAAAGTGAAGGCAAAATTGAAGGCCATATCTCAATCTATGATGATCCACTGAATAATTCGTCAACACTGTACATTTAACACATTACCAGACTCAGCAAGCAAATGAGAAAAAAAAAATCCTTACTTCCATATGGAGTCCCTATCAGTAGGGTACTTGGTTAAATTTTTTAGCAGCTCCACCAGTGCAAGATGAATCCCTTCTTTGGTTGAAACATTAGTACAGCATAGGAGTTCATGAAGAGCCTCTCTAATATCTCTAGATGAATCCTTAAAAAAAAAAAAGGTAACAATAATAATAAAAGCAATCACTATGGATTAGCTATTTATGGAGGATGGTACAAGTTAAAGTGGGAGTATAAGGCAAACAGCCCCTCTCAAAGGGGAGGGGCTAGTAGTTGAAAAGACTTCACAGAGGAGGTAAAATCTGAAATGATATTTGAAGAATTCATCCATTTGTTCATTCATTGGTACACGCAACATTTACAGAACACTTTATTATACAGTCAACATTTATCAGTACCTACTATGTACCAAGTGTTAGGGATACGGCCATAATTAAAACCGAATCCCTGCTCTCAGGAGCTTCCTTCCAGTGAAAAGACAAAAATAAACAGCTAAAGGACTGCCCTGGTGATCCAGTGGTTAAGAATCCACCTGCCAATGCAAGGGACACAGGTTCCATCTCTAGTCTGGGAAGGTTCCACATACCTCAGGGCAACTAAGCCCATGCATTACAACTACTGAAGCCTGCATGTCCTAGAGTCAGTGTTCTGCAACGATAGAAGCCACGGCAATGGGTAGCCCAAGCACCACAACTAGAGAGTAGCCCCTGCTCGCTGCAACTAGAGAAAGCCCACGAGCAGCAACGAGGACCTAGCACATCCTAAGTAAGTAAGATATGAGAAACTATAAAGAAGGTTAAGGATAAGAGCGCTAAGATTGGAGGGTTATTTTACGTGGCATGATCAAAGGAAACAGCAAACATAAAGGCTATGTTTGAAAGGCAAAAGCATGTTGAAAAAATAGCAGTGTGGCTAGGGCAGATAAACAAAAGAAGAGGAGGTACCAGGTGATGTCAGAAAGTGGCCTCTTCCCTCCCCAATACCTTTTGCTCAACCTCACTAAAATGATTACAAAAGTTCACCAACAACTTCTTAATGCTAACATAAACAAAGACGTATCAGTTTTACTCTTACTGATATCTTCATAGCATTATTGCCAGTTCTTTAAAACTTTTTAACATAGACAATTTGAAGCATGTATAAATAAGTAGAGACAAGAAATCCCCCAGTCTCAACAATTAACTCACAGCCAATCATGCTTCATCTATACCTTAAACCACCCCTCCCAAATTATTTTGAATCCAGTCAGAGAAATCAGCATTCTGTTGGTAAATATTGTCATAATAGTTCTTTTTAAAAATGAGTCTTTATTTTTGAAAATATGTAAAATCTCTTTATATCTCACTTTTTTTACCCCTTGCAATTTCTCCCCTGTATATCTCGAGATGGTAGTTTGATTTACAGGCTTGATCAGAATCAGGTTCAATTTTTTTATATGACCACTTCACAAGTGGTACCGTATACTTCCCTCAGCAACTATATATTTCTCCTTTGTGATATTACTAACCACTGAAGATCACTGCCTAGATCTAGTAATTCATTAAAGTTCTAAAACAATAATATATATATTCTATCATTCTTGATTTATTAACTGGAATACTTCTACAAGAGAAACTTCCCTTTATCACCTAGCTGGTTGTCTTGAAGTTCCATTTGTATAGGAAAAGGAAGGATAAATGCTTGATTCCTTAATTTACCAGTTTTCAAAATAATGAGTTGATTACTATGCATCTTCCAATGTGACTAGTTATGTGCTTTACTTAATTATTATAAAATCATGGGTTTCATCATATTTGCAGTTATAATCTTAATGAGATGTTTCACCTTTGGCCAGTGAGAGACTATTTAAGTCATCTCCTGGGTCTTTTGATATGAGCCTAGAGGTGTTGGATAGCTAATATCTGCTTTCTGTATGACAAGGCAGTACACGGTTATCTTGTTATGTTTCCTGCATCACACCTGGAATCAGCCATTTCTCTTCTGCATTTTGGTTACTTTTAGCAGGAAATGGGATCTCCAAAGCAATTTTTTTTAAGTCAGGTTTATTGATATATGTTTTACATTCTATAATAAAATTCATCCTTTTTAGTGCACACTTCCATGAGTCTAACAAATCCATATAGATATGTAACCACCATCGCATTCACGATACAAAACACCTGCATCACTCAAACACTTTCCTAGTGTCCCTTTGTAGTCTACCCCTCACCCCAGTTTCTAGCAATCACTGATGCGTTTTCTGCTACACTTTTGTCTTTCTAAAATGTCATATAAATGAAATCATAGAGCATGCTGCCTCTCCTGCCTGGTTACTTTTACTTACCATAATGTATCCATGTTGCTACATGTATCAGCAGCTACTCATTTTTATTTTTATTTATTCATTTTAACCAGAATGACTGTACGGGCGCTAACTCATTTTTTTGTGGGTTGTTTTTTTTCTTAACTTTATGTATTTATTTGGCTCCTCCCAATTCCTTGGATATATCATATCCACTTTTACCTCTGGATCCTTAAAACACTGCTCCCTCTCTGGTACCCTTCCACCCCACTACCATCAGTGCCACGCCTTCCCAAGAAAATTCTTTATATACCTGAATCCAATATAACTTCTCTTTCTGATTTTTCTAATATAATATAGCAAGTCAACTATACTTTCATTTAAAAAAAAGAAAGAAAATTCCTCATTAAGTCCTACTCCTTCAAGTATCCACTACAGCATTCCTTCTTTCTTCCCTATCTTCCCAACCTTACCTCGGCTAACTCAGGTTAGATATTCTGTATTCCCAGGGCATCCCATCCTTTCCTGATCATGGCATTACTAAGCTTTATTCAAATTTCCTGTTTAACAGTCTCCTCCATCATGAAGGAGCTGTGTGATCAGAAAGCAAAATTGTGCTACCTCTTCACTATTTTATCACCAATGTCTGGCCCAAAAAAAAAAAAAGAAAGAAAGAAAGAAAAGCGGCACTCAGTAGGTACTGATGAAGAAATGCATAATAAACTGTGATCATTCACCTCTAACACAGCCAGGACAGTGTCAAGCTGATCCTCTCGAAGGGTGATATTGTTAGAGATTTTTCTCATGGTATGTATGGACTGGAGACGTACTTCCTCAATTTCATCATTAAACATGTCAACCAGGAAATCAAGGCACTTCTCAGCAAAAGAGGGTGAAGACTGGGCCAGCATGCAGAGTGCCTCCACAGCAGCAATGCGGACCTCTAGAGAGAAGGGAACAAACAAAACTGTACGTCAAGTTAAGACCCATGGATGAAATGCAAGGACTCCTCGTTCAGGTTTGTGTTTCCCCCTTTACTCCTCTCACTCTGCAAACTCTCTCTGGGAGATCTCCTCCAAGCCTGTAGATTCTGGCACTGCCTTCACATGGACCTACAAATAAGGACACTGGTACCACAAGAACTGAGGTTTAGATCTTAAATCCATAGACATGTGATCAAGTCACATGCCTATCTCCATTAATTTAAATTTCTTGAAAACTCAGTTGTCTTATCTCAGTATTTCAACCACAGTAGTTTTTTAAAAAGCACTTTTCAAACAGCATTATTAAGATTAAAATAGGCTCAAGTATCATTATTCTCAATCTAGAGATAAGACTCAGCAAAGTGGATAAACTTGCCTCAAAGTGAGAGCAGAGATAAGACTAGTACTCTGGTCTGCTAATTCTAGACTAATGTGTCAGGTAGGGGTTAAGGGTACTGGCTCTGGAATGACAGCGGTCTCACAGTGAATTGCAAAAAGTAATCCATCCACTAACTTGTACGGTGATCTTGAATAAGTAACTTAACTTCATAGCACTTCAAGAGAATACTTATTTTCTTACAGAGTAGTTAGGAGGAATAAATGACATAATGTGGGGAAAGCACATAGCACACTGTCTGGCATATGTTAAAGGCTCAATAAATATTAACTATGATATAGGTACAGATCTTGTAAGCACCTTGAAAACCGAGGCATGTCCCCTATCTCTTTATATGCTCAGAACATGTAACAGTGAGGCCACTGAGTCCAGGAAGCCCTTCATTCATTCACTGACAATGCATCCTGAACATGCACTATATGCCAGGCCCTGTGCTGAGTGTTGGGATATAGAGATGAGAGATGAGTAAGTTACAGACTATGTTCACAAGACTTCCACACATGCCTGTTTCATTCCAATGATTCCCACTGCGTTCTATAACATAATGTACAGTTTCAAAAAAGTCTTCAACTGTGGTTAAACCCTCAAATATAGTTCGGTTTTTCGTATAAGAAAGGTTTTCAGTTCAGTTCAATTCAGTCGCTCAGTCGTGTCCGACTCTTTGCAACTCCATGAATCGCAGCATGCTAGGCCTCCCTGTCCATCACCAACTCCCGGAGTTTACTCAAACTCATGTCCATCGAGTCAGTGATGCCATCCAGCCATCTCATCCTCTGTCGTACCCTTCTCCTCCTGCCCCCAATCCTTCCCAGCATTAGGGTCTTTGCCAATGAATCAACTCTTCGCATGAGGTGGCCAAAGTATTGGAGTTTCAGGAAACATTGTCAGACTTTATTTTTTGGGGCTCCAATATCACTGCAGATGGTGACTGCAGCCATGAAATTAAAAGATGCTTACTCCTTGGAAAGAAATTTATGACCAACCTAGATAGCATATTAAAAAGCAGAGACAATACTTTGCCAACAAAGGTCCGTCTAGTCAAGGCTATGGTTTTTCCAGTGGTCATGTATGAATGTGAGAGTTGGACTGGGAAGAAAGAAAGGTTTTACAGACACGTAAAAACAGAATTACTACATTAAAGGGAGATGATTCAGATTTTTCTTGGTACTTATAAATTCCTCCTTTTCACCAGAAGGGAAGGACTTGCTCTGCATCACAATAATATAATTTAAACATGAAATTGCTAATAATTACAAAACAAGACAGAGATGGACCCAAATATTTTAAATGCTGACCCTGCTTCCAAGAGCTTTATCAGTTATGCAGCACTGACTCATATGTAAGTCCAGCAAGTGTTATCAAGGGAATCACAGAAAAGCTTCTGATCAACATAAGGTAATCAGTATGACCTGACCTGATGCAATTCCAAGCAGAAGCAAAGACACTTGGCTTTCTACTTTGCCATGCACAGCTCAGCTACAGGTAGCTAAAGCAACAGTTACTACTGGACTTTTTGGAATGTTGAAAATACGTAACAGTCTCCTTAAGGATCCAGGGCAGAGAAAAGGAACTAGCTTGCTCAAGAGAAAAAAAAAAGACTGATCCTCTGGTATCTTAACACATGTAATCAGGTTCTAGTTTTGTTACTTACCAGTTTCATACACCATCTCCTAGCCACCAAAGACTAGAGTAGTCTACTGCCTCACACAGTGATGAATGGTACAATGGAAACACACAGGTCGTATTAAGGAAATGCAGAAGAGGCACACAGCCTACTGAACAGGATCACAGGCAGCATTCTGGAAAGTGACCCCTAAAATAATACCAGATGGAGTTGCTGGGCCAGAAGAAAGAAAAAGGGCGTTCCTACACAGAGGAAGCACATGTAAAGGCCCAGGAAGGAGGGAGAACATGCAACAAGAGGACTAGAACTGTGTGATACTATTGATACACTAGAGGCTACAGCCAACGAAACAGGCTCCGTTTCACCCAGCAAATGTATCCCTAAGACCCTGACTGACCCAGAATTTGTAAATATGATTAGAGAGCTGCTGTACCTGATGCTGGTTATGATCTCCTCATTTTCCAAAGTTAAGTGCCTTTAATTAGACCTTAGTGACAAACTAAAGACTGTAGAAATAAACCACATAACCATTAACTTTGATTAAATTCATTTGTAGAAACTAAACAAAGCAAAAATGCTAGTAGAAACAAAATAGATTCCAGTTATCTGCCTTAGGATAAACTGGGTTTTAATAACTGGAATTCCTTATTATCTAACACTATTTAAATTTTTCATTCATATATCAAGTTCATGGGGAAAAAAAGCAGAGGCAGCTTTAATTTTCATGTATATAGAAAGCCTTATAGCAAACTGAATAGAGTAACCCAATTCTTCTATTAACAGAAAAACTGTCTTTCCAAAGTAATTTTCTTGTCCTTCTAAGAAATTCTGTTCTAAGGTTATCATTTTTGTAGGCATTTTAAAGACCTTAGTTCTAATCCTCTGACACAATTTTACTGTAAAATTTGGACAATCAACATTATCTCCTTAGGTATGTTAGCCTAACTGAAAATATGATGTTGGAATCACTCAACTCAAAGCATTATCTGTGATATATGTGAGACGGACAGCATCATACTGTGGAAATGCTAAGAGATTTGCAAGGGCTTCTATTACTGGTTAAAATGGAGTTAACAAAGCCGGATTAATCCTTTCTGAAACAACTAAATAACTAAGAACAGACAAAATATATGAAACAAAAGTATTCAACACACCATATGTCAGGCAGTAAAAGGGAGTGATCTCTGAGAGACAGGAAATAAAATGAGGTGAGCTCTGTGATTATACCAGTTTACTGTCTGTAGAGTTCCCAGGTTGTAGGTCTCCCTGAGTTCACACGACAGAGCTGGGAGTTCAGAAGACAGAGAGAGCTGTGATTAGAGTTAGAGGGCAAAGTACAGAATGGAAAGAAGGGCACGGACAGAGCAAGCCTGGGAGACCTGCAGCAGGTTCTCCTAAGTCTTCAGTCAATTTCTGATCTGTGAAGAAACTACCCAAGGCCTGAGAAAGAACCTCTCGAGGATTTGAGGAAACAATCTCCAAAATTCACACATGATCAACAAGTTTTTTCGAAGGGTTTGTTTTACTAGTGGAGAAAAATAACCCTGAGGCTTAGTGCTATTCCAGCCCACCTAAAAAGGCTTAAAAATAAAACCTGAGCTAACTGCATTCTAGAACAAAGCTCAAGAATACTTACAGGAATATAACAATGTTCAGCACCCAATAAAGTAAAATTCAGGGTGTCTGGCATCCAATCACAAATTACCAGGCTTACATAGAAGCAGGAAAATACAATCCATAATGAAGAGAAAAATCAACCAATCAAAACCAACCCAGCAATCACAAAAGCAATAGAGCTAGAAGACAATGACATTAGAACAGTTACTGTAAATACATTCTCTGTTGACAAAGCTACAGGAAAGAGTAAACATATTAAGTAGTGACATAGAAGACACTAAAGAAAAGAAACTTAAATTCTAATCAAACTTCTAGGGATGACAATTAAAATGTCTGAGGTGAAAAATATACCAGATGGAATCAATATCAGATTAGACACTGAGGAAGAAAAAATTAGGTAAGACAAAACAATAAACATTATTCAAAATGAAACTAAGAGAAAAAAAGACTAAAAAGTGAAAAAAAAAGAACAGAGCACCTGTGAGTTGCAGGACAAACTCAGTAGCCTAATATATATGTAACTGGGAGACCCTAAAGGAGCATGGGTTCAGAAAAATATTTAAAGAAATAACAACCAAAGATTTTTCAAATTTGATAAAAACTACAAAACCATAGATCCAAGAGGCTCAACAAACTCCAAGCATATGAAATATGAAGAAAATTATACCAAGGCATATCATAATTAAATCATTTAAAACCAGTAATAAAGAGAAAACCTTAAAAGCAGACAGTAAAAAAAGATACACTATGTACAGAAAAACAGAAATTTTAAATTACAGCAGGGCTTCCCTGGTAGTCAAGTGGTTAAGAATGCACCTTGCAATGCAGGGTCCAGGAATATCCCACATGCTCTAGAACAACTAAGCCCTCAAGCTGCAATTAATGAGCCCATGTGCCTAGAATCTATGCTTCAAAACAAGAGAAGCCACTGTAACAGGAGCCTGTGCACCACAACTAGAGAAAAGCCTCTGCATAGCAATGAAGAGCCATCAGTCAAAAATACAAATAAGTTAAAAAAAAAAAAAAAAAGACAGCAGACTTCTCAACAGAACTGAAAAACTGTGGAACAAGATCTTTAAAGGACAAAAAAAAGAACAAATAAATAAACCACTACTAATCTAGAATTGGATTCCCAGGGAAATATCTTTCAAAAATGAAATGGGACTCCCCTGGTGGTACAATGGATAAGAATCCTCCTGCCAATGCAGGGGACATAGGTTCCATCCCTGGTCTGGGGAGAGTCCACATGCCAAGGAACAACTAGGCCCATGCACCACAATTACTGAGGCTGCTCTCCAGAGCCCGTGAGCCACAACTCCTGAGCCCATGTGCTGCAACTTCTGAAGCCTGTGTGCCTAGAGCCTGTATTCCGCGACAAGAGAAGCCACTGCAATGAGAAGCTGGGGCACTGCAACGAAGAGTAGCCCCTGCTCACCGCAACTACAGAAAGCCCAAGTGCAGCAATGAAGAGCCAGCACAAGCAAAAATATGCAAATAAATAATAAAAGAATTATTTTTAAAAAATGAAGGTGAAATAAAGTCTTCACTGAGTGACTGTGAAGATCAAGTGAGACAATCTGTATCACTCAATACAATGTCAGTGACACAGCAGTCACGCGGTAAGTGGGCACTGGTATTATTAAGAAGTCATTCTTACCGTACATCTCATCTTCCAATCCATGAACAAAGGCTCCACAAGCTCCTGACTCAATCAAGTTCACAGCCCCCGTATCTATCTCTTCCTTGGGAGCATCATCTCCCCACTTCCTGCCGCTGGAAAACTCTCCCGAGCTGTAAAGTTCCTTGGCACGTTCATGTGCAGTGCGTTTCCTCTGTAGAAGACAAAAATTACCACTTGCTGAGATTCATGAGACAACAGTTAAGTTGTACACCAAGAACATGAGAAAGTGGGAAATAAAGACTGCTCTCAGGGGCTTCCCTGGTCGCCTAGTGGTTAAGAATCTGCCTGTCAATGCAGAGGACATGGGTTCAATCCCTGGTCTGGGAAGATCCCACATGCCATGGGGCAACTAAGCCCGTGCACCTACTAAGCCCACACTGTAGAGCCCATAAGCCCCAGCTACTGCAGCCCACACACCTAGAGCCCATGAGCTGCAACGAGAAGCCCCTGCTCTCCACAGCTAGAGAAAACCTGTACAGCAATGAAGACCCAGCACAACGAAAAAACAAAAATTTAAAGTAAATACATATATCTTAAAAAAAAAAAGACCGCTCTCTGAAAGTTACAGTAAAAAAAAAAAACATTCAATAGCTATCAGAGCAGAGATATGCAAATTCAACTTGAAGCAAAGACAAAGACTCTCCGGTCTATCATAGTTGATAGTAATCTTATCAAAGATAGTACTTTATTAAGGGGCTTCCCAAGTGGCTCACTTGGTAAAGAATCTGCCTGCCAATGCAGGAGCATAGGAGACTTGGGTTCAATACCAGGGTTGGGAATATTCCTTGGAGGAGGATATGGCTAACCACTCCTATATTTTTGCTGGGATAATCCCATGGACAGAAGAAGCCTGGAGGGTTTACAGTCCATGGGGTCACAAAGAAGTCCAACATGACTGAGTGACTGAAGACACACACCCACAGCTTTATTAAAGAGAACACACGAATATTCATCAGAGAGGTGGTTATATTTGCCATGGCAACACAGGGAAGGGAGAACTAGAGAAGTTAAATAATGGCAGTATCCCTCTAAGCATCATCCTGCGTAGACAATACTCTAGCCCTAGAAAAGAATTTTTTTCAAACCATAGGACTATGCTTTATTTGAGCAACATTATGCTCACCAAGCAAGCCTCTAGTAAATTTACTTCCTACACAGGTTGCTTAAGGGGAGCTATACTAGTTGGCTAAAGTAAATATTGAGTCTACTTGACAGTTACAGTTACCTTCATAAATGAATAAACTGGCATTCTGCTTTATTTTTTAGTTTATTTGGGCTCACCAGGTCTTTAATATATATACTTTTATTTATTTGTCGGCATTGGGTCTTAGTTGTGCATGCTTGATCTTTGCTGCGGCATGTAGAACCCAGTTCCCTGACAGGGATTGAACCCTGGCCCCCTGCACTGAGAGCTCGGACTCTTATCCACTGGACCACCAGGGAAGTCCCCAGCAATCTGCTTTACATATCAGGTTCTATGAATCTTGCTGGAGTGAGACCACACCCTCACGGCTGATCATCTCAAAGGCACTGATGAAATACAGCACCTAAGCCTACAGGGATGTGGTTCGGACCCATTTGTATCTTGCAATGTATCTTAGGAACCCTTGAATTACCCAACCCTCATCATTCACCATGAGCATGTCCTTCTTTGCACTTCCACTCCAGTATACACCAAGAACACTGACGCAATCACTGACCTCAAATGAAGGGAATCCCCTTCAAGAAGGCCATACAGCAATGTTTCATGAAGCAAAGATATCAACTCTTCAACCATTCCTAAGAATTTATTTTATGGAATAAATCAAAAGAAAAGATCTAAAATCCACAGAGATAATACTCTCTATATGATTTATAATGGTGGAAAAATTTAGGAGAAACTATAAATGTATAACAAAGGGCTACAAAATGATGATACATCTACTTAATGGGATATTCAGTTCAGTTGCTCAGTCATGTCCGACTCTTTGTGATCCCATGAACTGCAGCACGCCAGGCCTCCCTGTCCATCACCAACTCCCAGAGTCCACCCAAGCCCGTGTCCATTGAGTCAATGATGCCATCCAACCATCTCATCCTCTGCCGTCCCCTTCTCCTCCTGCCCTCAATCTTTCCCAGCATCAGGGTCTTTTCCAATGGGATATTACACAATCAGTAAAAACTATAAGCTAACAAAATGAAAAAAGAATGTAGTGGTAAAGGTAAAAAGTAGACTACAAAATTATCTATATATAATGATTCATGTTTAAAACATGCATAAGAAACAGCTGAATACAGATACCTCAAAATGATGTGTTAAGAGTAGTGGGAATACAGGTAAACTATTTCCCTTTTCCTTCTACTTGTCAAAGATTCTGATTCCTTATTAACACTTTTATAACTTAAAACTTAAGATACTGACAATAAATGATCCTATCATATTTTCAGACTCATATCTGTTCCTGACAACTATGTCAGAGAACCATCAGTTAGTTTAAGGGCATTCTGTTACTGTTTAGAGTAATAGGATGCTGCTACTGTATTCTCATGTAAACTCTTCCATGAGAATTGCTATTGAAAGGAGTTCTAAGATGTCATACAATCTAACAAAATAAGACCAGATCTTTGTAGTTTCTAAAACAGAAAGTTAATCTTGCCTCTTCTCTGTAAAACACAACCCGTGAAAAGTATCTCATTAAGATAATTTAAAATGTAATGAAGTAACTTGTGATTTGGGTCAAGTTACTAAGAATTTGCAGGAGGGCAGAGCAACTCACTCCAGTGTTCTTGCCTGAAGAATCCCAAGGACAGAGCCTGGCAGGCTACAGTCCATAGGATCGCACAGTCGGTCACGACTGAAGTGACTTAGCACCCAGCACTAAGATTTTTAAATTAAAATGTAATCTAGTCACCCTACATTAACTTAACAAATTCATGGGCTGTAAAATTGAATCAACACAACCTGACATACAGCTCCACTGATTTTGGTTTCAGAAACCCAGTTTAAACAACAAAGAATTCAAGTTACCCTCAGATCTGACATCAGCTTCTTGTCAAGCGTCTGTTCCAAGAAATGAGAACTGACTTGCTCCATAGAGCCCTATAAAAAGGAAGAATCCAGAGCAAATTAAACAACTATTAAGACCCAAATATTATCTTAAAATTCAGTTTGCTGCCAACTTAAGAACATAAAGATAAGATTATTCTTGATAGTAAAGATCCCTACGGATTTTGAATCATCAGGAAAATAATAAAACCATTAGCAGCAGCAGCAGCAGCAGCACCTATACAGAGCTATTAGGTGTCATGCATTGCTCTAAGTGCACATATTACATAATACACATATTAACTCATTTAATACTCACTACAACTCTATGAAGTAAATACTACTATTAGTCACAACTTATATAAGGTGAAAAGAAGGCACAAAAAGATGAAGCAACTCATTCAAGGTGATAAAGAGTATAAATTATACAGCTGGGCTATAAACCCAGGCTCCAGAATCCTTTGCCTTAACTACTACTTTCCTTTTCATTGCATTCTATTCATTCATTTGTCCATTCATTCCTTAAACAAATACATATTTAGCAACCATGTCTTTATATGCCTAGAGTTACTAGGAAGAGGAATACAAATACAAAAAGACATCAATTCTGCACTCAACAATATCACATAATAGTGAGGAAAACTGACAAGAGATAACTGCATTATGGTATGAAATTTTATAAAATATCTAAAAGTTTTCATCCTGCTGTTAAGTCAAGCAGAATGGACTCTATTCGCTTTTTGTACAAGATGGACTTAGGTCTAAAGCCTACCATTTCATTTATGTTCTTGAAAGCCTGGCTTCTACTTTCCTCTAGAGCTTACTCCCGTCACATATCACCCAAGTTGAACACTCCCTCTTACCAAAACATACCAAACTGCTTGCAGTTTAACATGATATTGTAGTTTAGTATGATATTACAGTTCAGTACAATGTTAGTATGCATGATAGTGTACTCATATATTTCTGCTCACATTTTCTCCTTCCCTACTTCTTTACCTAGCTAACCCATACTCATCTTTCAAAGTCAACTAAGAAATTACCTCCTCCAAGAAGCTTTCTGTGCATATGTTAGATGCTCTTTCCTAGAAGCACCAATAGTATAACTGATTGATTGTCTATGTCAATCTACCTGACCATCCACTCTTCTGAAGACACACATTATGCTCAGTTTGTTGAACTAATGAACATATAGTCTAAAGACTAAATACAGTTTACTGATTATGGGTTTATCTACTCAAGAGTTGGAGCAGCAGAGTTTACCTCTTGGCTTGCACAGAGGAACTAGTAAACCAGCAGGACCTTAGCTGTACAACCACAGCTCCCAATATATAACTGGACCCCCACTAGGAAGGAATTCTACACGGGCTTTAGAGCATCAAGTATCATTACTACCTACGTGGCTTTGGAAAAAATTACACTTTCCTAAACCTTAGTTTTATTATTTATAAAATGAATAATATAATATCTACCTCTGAGTTTAAAAGAACTAAAAATTATTTGCAAAACATGAATATATATGAGTGTAAGTATGTAGGCATCTATTCACGTGTGCTTGTGTATAAGGAAGTGGGTGTATATGCATGTGTATATGGATATGCTTTTATTACTAAAAGCTTAGTAGGCTAGGAACTCAATAAACAGTAACAATTATTATTAGCAAAATTATTAATTACTTTTGAAGTATAAACATAATAACATAATTTAGAGTTGTTTGGATTTGAAATTACTAAAATAACATAAAGCACTTAACTCAAACTAGACTCTAAGTGAAAACCTTTTAACTCACCACTGTAATTCATTATTTATATAGCTTTACATACATAAATGAATTTTAGATTCTATAGGGTACAAAGCCAAAAATTTGAATGACTCTGCTTTAAGGATTACTTTTCTAACCTGACTACTCATATGACAATATATTATTGAATTATTCCTCTTAAACATCTCCTCACACACACATAGCACACTGCAGATGCTCAGGACATGCTGACTGAAAGAATCTGATGAATGACTGAATTGTTCTGAATGTTAAAATATCCACAAATCAAAACAATGCTTTAAAATGTGAATTCAAAAATAAAATCACTAAAAGCTGGCTTGTTTATTATGGACAAGCAATATAATACATAAGCAGGAAAAAAATGACATCATCCAAATTCTTTATTTTTCCATGAAAATGCTTCACAAACGTCTTAGCAGTTACCCCCAAAATAGTGATCAAAGGACAGTATTTGTGTCCAGTACAGTCAGGTCCAAACTTTTTGGCCAACAATCTTACTAAGACTGGCAGAGCTGGAGGCACTCAAAAGAGAAGTGATCGAAAATAATCTCAGGCTTTCTTGCTGTGACACTAATATAAAGTTTTATAGATGGTTATATATATGTTTATACATTGTAACCATCCCACCACCTTGCATAGGGTAGTATTTTACAAGTTATACACATTGTCATAGACAGGAACTCATTTGAGTGTCAAGACAGCCCTGTGAGGTAAACCTGAGAAATATGATAAGCCACTTGACAGATGAAGAAACCAAGTGACATGTCCGAGACAACACAGGTGTAAAATAAAGCTGAGTATTACACCAACACTCCTTCTGTAAAACAGCTCTATCTCTGAAAAGTTAAAAAAATTTTTTTATAAATGTACTAGAATCCCCAAAGCCAAAACAGTAGGAAAGAGCGAGGCTAAAAGTCAGATTAGCATCTGAATCTCCTTCTATAACTTCCTATCTAAGTTAAATATTTACTTTAGGTTCTCAGAGAATAATAAGATAAGAATAAGAATAATAAGAATAAGTGACATAATGTAAGTGGCCTTATAGCAAAGTATGCAGGCCATACCAGGTGCTTAGTAACAGTGGCAGTTATTTTTACTATTATGGTCCTTCTTCTCTAGACTTTGGCTGTCTAATATGCTAATGAGATTAAATAGGATTATCTTTAAAATTCTTTCTAGTTCTAAAAGACTCTCTATGGGGAAAGAGCCTTTTCTTTCTATTTTAAGAAACATGAAGCTTTATAAAAGTGTATTCCACTTGTCCCTATCCAGCTTCTCAAAATGTCTGTACAAGTGTAACAGGTAATATGTTCATTAAATAAGATGCAACTTACCAATAGCTTTGCAGCTTGAACTCGAACCATCCAGGAGCCATCACTGACCATGTGACAAATTTTTCCAAACGCATCATCAACTAAGCGAATTTCTTCATTAGAAGAAGGGATTGGGACAATGCTATATTAAAAGAAACCAAAAATGATAAAACATGAACCTAAAATTACAGGTTCAAAAAGCTGAGAATGACCAATGACAACTGACACACAAATAGAAATAACTTAATTCAAAACCCAGAATGATGAAATACATTTCAGAGTAAACAAATCTCTCTAGGATTTCTTTATTTTTATTTGCACTGCAAATCTGTGTCTTAAATAAAAAGCATTTCACACGAAAAATTCAAATATTTATGAGAAACCACACAGTATCAGCTACCACAAAGTATTTTATGTGGTAACAGCTACCACAGAGTATTTTATATCTTTAAGTTTAAACCAATATAAAATATACTTACATATCTAGTCCTAAATAAAAAGAAAATTTCCAAATAGCAGTCTTTTTTTGGGGGGTGAGGGGTCTATAGCTTTATTAACTCATTCTGTTTTTTCAATTTCAATGTGTTTAATGAAGAAGAAAAAAACACTGCTTTTTCCTATAAAAGGAGTTCTTCTATAAAACAGAATAAATAATACCTATTTCTCTACCTCAAAGAATCACTATGAGAATAAATTATTTAATTACTGTGAAAAAAATTTTTTTAACCAAACTGCACAAATTGTGGGATCCTAATTCCCTCGATCAGAGATTGAACCCAGGTCCCAGCAGTGAAAGCGCCAAGTCCTAACCACTGGACAACCAGGAAATTCCCTATGAAAATATTTTTAACCAGGACAACAGTACATGAGGGATCATTATTCTCAAACTTACCTGGTATCTTTAGCTGACTTTCGTATTAACTAAAATGGGCCCCAAAGCATTTTAAAGACTTTTTTAGGGGGTGGGCAGAGGCGGAGGAGATAGCATTCGAGAACAGCCATCCATCTCTTCATCTATAGTTGAGGAAGCTGGGACCCAGAGAGATGAAGTACCTTTCCTAACATACACAGAAAGCTCAAGGCAGAGCTGAAAAGCAAGGCCCAGGCATCCTGATTTTCAGGGTCCATGCTTTTCTCCTATTCCACACTGCCTTCCAACATTCCTTTTCGGGAGGTAGGCTTTTTACATAGTGGGAGGAAAGAAAATGACTGAGCAATGAACAAAAGCTGGCTGACACCCATACTGACCTTTCAGGATAGAGCTGGCTGACAACCCAGATAAGCTGGACTGCAGCACTGCGCACTTGTTCATAGTCATCAGAGAGCAGTTTACAAGCCTGCAAACAAGGATTCCAGAAGTCGGTTAGTCCTGTGTCCTCCCAGATGATGTTCAAACTACTTTCAAAATGAAGATAAAGCAGCTGGACCAGGATGCCAATCAAAATATGTACATATGACTTTAACTTCTTCAACCTTTGCACAGTAAAAAATTGTTCTGTGTACCCTCCCACCCCATGTCTGAAAGGAAAACCAGAAACTGACAGCCCCAAAGCCAACTAGAATAGCATCAATCCTAGCAAAGCTTGGTCAGAGCCCACAGTGCTACCCTTATAGGCTCAAACACCAAAGGTGAGTTTTTCCCCTACCTGTAAATTCAGAGCACAAATTTCTGACTGACAGCCCACCTGAAAACTCAAGCACTCTAAATAAATGTACAATTTTAATTTTAAGCTGCCAAAAAGAGGCCAAATTTTCCTGTTTTACTTTGGTCTGAAATGGAATATCCCTACTCCACCCACAGTCAAAGCAACACCTTAGACTGCAACAACACCTAGAACTACAGCTTTTGAAATTTTAAAATCTCATACTCCATGCTCTGACTATAACATGCTACTCTATCGGTTCTTCCAAGGTCATAACTTACCCATCATCCCTGCTCTTCATCCCACTTGAGCTACCTATCTGTTTAAGCAAGGTCTCTCAATCTTGCTACTATCGACACTTTGGATTGGATAATTGTTTGTTGTGAGGGGCTGACCTGTGCAATATGTTTAGTAGCATCCCTGGGCCTCTAGCCATTAGATAGTCATAGCGCTGCACCCTCTTCCTCTCCCCAGCAACTGCAATACTCAAAAATACCTAAAAAAAAAAAAAAAACTTCTACACTAAAGAATCAACGCAGAAGACACGGGTTTGATCCCTGACCCAGTAAGATCCCACGCGCCGCGGAGCAGTGAAGTCCTGTGCGCCACAACAACTGAGCCTGTGCTCTGGAGTCCAGGAGCCACGAATACTGAAGCCCACAGGCCCTAGAGCCCGTGCTCTGCAACAAGAGAAGCCACTGCAATGAGAAGTCCGTGCACCGCAACTAGCGAATAGCCCCCACTCACTGCAACCAGAGAAAATTCCACACAGAAACGAAGGCCCAGCACAGCCAAAAATAAATAAATAAAATTATTAGAATAAAAAATACCTCCACACATCACCAAATATTCCCTGGGGGGCAAAATTACCTTGGCTGAAAACCATTGCTTTAATTCCATCTTTTCTGTCCAAATAAACCGCCTTCTCCTTGCTCTATACTCTTTCTTACTTCGGTCTCCTGAGAGCATTGCCTGCATCATCACACAGGATGCCCTCTTCACTTGTGCTACAGCTGCTCCACAAACCTAAGACTTTATAAGGGCAGAAGAGCACTGGCAAAGAAGACCACACTCTCGAGGGGATGGGTGACTCATGACCTCAAACCTTATTAGCTGTACTCTGAAATCACTTACATTCTGGCCTTCAACTTCCATTTCCCAAGGCAGCTTTTCTTAACCTTCCCTTCAGGACTTCTATCCCACTAACAGCCATAAGGCGACCTGTGTATCAGAAAAATCAAGGTTCTCAGGCACAAACCCACTCAGCTACTCCATACCAGTTACAAGCTCATTTATTCCTGTATTCTCCCACACCTTGTTTTCTCAATATCTGAGGGAAAAGGGTCCTTTCTAGTTCCTAATCCTATTTTTGCTATGGATCCCATCACTTCCTCACATGACCATCCCTTACCATCCTCCAAAAAGATCTTCCTTGTGATTCTCTATGACAGCATCCTGTAGCTTTACCTCACAGCAATACTCATATACTATAACTGTGCTTGCTTATTTATTAATTGCCGTCTTATCTATGAGACTGGGAAGGGCAGAGGTCCCATCTAACATGCTTGGCATTACACAGCCAGCATTAGGTTCTCAATAACATCTGTTGATGAGTCAGCTCATGAATCTGATTTTCTGCCTCAAGGAACTTACTCTATCATTTACTCCCCTTTGCCTCTTTCATCATTACACTTGCTGTTGTTGCTGTTTAGTTGCTAAGTCGCGTCTGACTCTTTTGTGACTCCATGGACTATAGCCCACCAGGCTCCTCTATCCATTGGGTTTCCTAAGCAAGAATACTGGAGTGGGTTACCATTTCCTTCTCCAGGGGATCTTCCTGACCCAGGGATCAAATCCAGGTCTCCTACATTGGCAGGCAGATTCTTTACCACTGAGTCACCAGTGAAGACCACCATAAACTAGCTCTCCCAAAACACTAGCTCTCTTTCCAACACATAAATATACTTAGCAACTATCTTTAAAATACAATGACAAGTGCTCGGGTCTGGTGCACTGGGAAGACCCAGAGGGATCGGGTAGAGAGGGAGGTGGGAGGGGGGATTGGGATGGGTAATACATGTAAATCCATGGCTGATTCATGTCAATGTATGACAAAAACCATTACAATATTATAAAGTTATTAGCCTCCAACTAATAAAAATAAATGGAAAAAAAAATACAACGACAACAGCAACAAAAAACCTTAATCCTATGCTCCCTTCTACCAACTTCCACCCCACTTTAACATCAGTCAAGTTTCTTCACTCATAGTCAATAATCACTTTAAACTGCCTCACCTCAACAGACCCTGATCTGGCGCTCCCCAATCCCACCACTCTACTGAAATTGCTCTCTTTAAACTCACTAATGGCCACTTTGTTGCTTAGTCCAATGTCCAGATTTCAGCCCTATACTAAATGCCCTTTCACCAGCATTTTAACACTGTTGACTACGAGAATGCCCTCCTGCCTCTTCCGGAATATGTTTTTCCTCTTCCCCCATCAAGCTGCTCCTCAGTTCCATTCTAGGGCTCCTTCCTTAAATGTCTGGCCTTGTCCCTGGCTCCATCCTTCATTTCTTCCGATTTTCTTCCTCTCCCTGAATACTGATGACTCCAAATATTCACCTCCAGCTCTGATCTTCCCTGAGTTCCAGACCTGAAATCCTCCTCATGAGTATCCCATCAACTTCTCAAATTCAACATAATCAAAAGGGAACTCAGTATAGTAACTACTGCTGTCTCATATCTCAGAACCTCCCCCAGCATTCCACCCTCACTCTCTTGATGCCCTCAGCATTGCTTGCCTAATTAACCAACACAGTCTTACGTCACTAAACACCTGAATCAACTGACTAACTCTTCTTCCTCTGTGTCTTTACAAGTTTCCTTTAATTATTTGGTTTCCCTCACAGTTTTTGTATAGGTCACACCATCGTAACTGTGGGGAGCCGGCCTGCTCAAGGCCCAAAAAGGCCCTGGGAAAGCCTTGAAAGAGGCCATTCCCTGTCCCACCACCTCATGATAAAGTAGTAAAACATTTGCTGGGTCTCCTTTGTTCTTCCTTGAGAAAAACATAGTAGTGACCTTCACTTAGTAGTTTATCTTGGAATGCCAAAAACAAGATGTAAGCTTCTGCAATCACTTATGACAAAGAATTGTATTGATGTGACAAACACCAGATGGCATTTTTATGAACTATGTTTTCTGCTTGTACTAGTATAAAGGTAGCTGTTTCACTCAATAAAGTTGCTGACTTGCCTAAAGAGCATTCAGCCCTCTAGACCCCATCCTTTACTTTCAGCTTCTTTTTCTCAGGCTTCCGTGCTGCTGCGGTCGGGACCTGTTCACATTGCCGGCTGGTACCGGCACATAACCATTCTGAACTCATTCCATTTCATTTGTAAAAGAACATACTTGGTTTACACAGCAGTCATACTGGTTGGGTTTATTATCAACTACCGCTAAAGGCTTAAAACCACTCAATAGGCTAGCAAAATCTGGACCCTGAGCACAGATTTAGACTTTTTGTCTCTGGATACATTCAATTATTCTACAAGAGTAACTGTAAGGCCTTTTAGCTGGCACTCAATCAGCTTGTCCTAATGATACTATAACTTTATTGTGCTTTTCCTTATCAACGCTACAATAATCATGTGATATCTTTTCATCCGATCCCATGGTCTTGGTCATCCTCCTCCAGAAATACTTCAGTTTCTCAAGCAAGGTGCCCAGAATTGACTTCAGGTTTGAAATCAACTTCAATCAACCAGACATCAGCACGACTACCACTTTCCTTACTCTGAGCTCTGTATACTCTGGTATTCACACTAAGCTACTGAAATCCTCCTAAATGTCCCCCTCACATGTACCAGTGCTATTCATTACACATCTCCATTCTCTTCTTAGAATGTATGTTGTGGATACATCATCACAACTAATACTGCCACTGTTAGCCAGATGAAGCTCTATGTTTTAAAATTTTGACAACCACTGTGACCCCTCTCAATTTCACAATACCTTCACCTTCCTCCTTTCAGAAAGCAAGCATTTAAGGTACCTGATTGTAAATTGTTTGGTGTAACTTCAGTCCTCTTTCATGGAGCTGCAACTAGACAATAAAGATACAGTTTAAGTATTTGGAAGGGGAAAGTCAATATTTCCAAAGTCTCCTCTCAATCTCACATATTTTTCCCCATCACATCCCATTAATATGGTTCCCTTTGGCCAAAGTCAGTGCTTTATAAATAAGAAATCTGAAACCTGGACTTTTCTAACATTCAAATGCTTAATAAATCTAACCCATGGGCTGTCCCAAGGGGATACCAGGAAGAATATGAAATATGATAAGAAGGCTGAGGAAGAAACAGTTGACACCATCTCTCCCTAAGGAGGACTAGTCCCCCATAACTTTCACCTATACTCTTGAAATACAAGGGTACAACATGTACCTTTTGCACCACAGTACCAAGTAACATCCCTCCCATGGACCTGGGATACAAGCTGTACCTTCCAGGTTTCAGAAATGCAGGTAAAAGCTACCAGAGAAGCCCACATGATAAGCAACTGTTATAAAGGGATTTGTGTCTTTGAGTTCTGTGATGCCACTAACACCTTCCTGAGAGTGTGGATAAAGTGTATCCTGGGGGGATTCAGAATGTATCTATCCAGGGGGCATTAGCCATTAACTTAAAAAAAAAATGAAAAAAGAAAAGTACAAATAAAAAAACAGACTCCATTTAGTTTCCATCATCATGTTTACCATGGCTTTTATAGCTGCTGTTCTGACACGTGGGTCCTGGTCATTAAAGTAATCCCCTATAATCTTCTGGACATCTCTGACAGCTAGGCCTTCTGCATCTTTTGTGACATTTTTCTCCAAAGAACCAAGATTTCCAAGTAACTGCAGACACTTATTTCTTACACCATGAGAGGTATCTGTCAGGTGCTATGAAAAGAGAGAACAAAAGGACGTGATCAAGATAGCTTAAAAATAAACAAAACACAGAAACAAAAGCACTGCATCAACTTTAGGAATGACTTCAAACACTACATTCTCACTAGTCAGGTCTCATATTTTCCTTTTTTTTTTTTTTTGAGGGAGGGGTTGTTTGTTTTGGTCATACTGTGTAGTTTGTGGGATCTTAGTTCCTCAACCAAAGATTGAACCCAGGTCCCGGCAGTAAAAGTGGCAAATCCGACCACTGGACTGCCAGTGAATTCCCTTCATGTTCTTTGAGTATATGTCTTCCAAAAAGAAGCATGAGTTCTGAAGACTCCCAGTTATTCAACGTCATACTCCCAACAGCAAGCACCTGGCCTTGCAAACAATAGGTTACTTTAAATGTGATACCTTAAACTGTTTTTTTTTTCTTTTCATTTTAAAACCGGACCAAATTTTTTAAATTTTAATATTCATACAGAAACATGGAAAAATATTAAATGTACAGTTCAATAAATTTTCACAGAACACACACAGATAAGCATCTAAATAAAGAAGTAAACATGAAAAACGCTGATGTCCCATTCCAGTAACTACTCTACCACCATCGAAAATAGCCCCATCACCAAAGCAATCTTGAGAAAAAAGAACAAAGTTGGAGGAATCATGCTCCCTGCCTTTAGACTATACTACAAAGCTCCCATGATCAAAACAGTATATTAATGGCACAAAAACAGTCACAAAGATCAAGGGAACAGAAAGGAGAGCCAAGAAACGAACGCACAAGCTTACAGTCAATTAATCTACAACAAACGAAGAAACAATATACAATGGGGAAAAGACAGTCTCTTCAATAAGTGGTGCTGGGGAAACTGTACAGCTACATGTAAATCAGCTGTTTCATGAAATCAGAACATTTTCTCATACCATATACAAAAGTAAACTCAAAATGGATTAAGTATACAAACATAAGACCAGAAACCATAAAAATCTCAGAAGAAAATACAGGCAAAACACTCTTTGATATAAATCACAGCTTTTTTTGTTGTTGTTGGATCTCTCTCCCAAGGCAAAGGAAACAAAAGCGACAATAAACAAATAGGACCTAACTAAACTTAAAAGCCTTTGCACAGCAAAGGAAACCATTGACAAAATGAAAAGACAACCAAGTAGATGGGACAAAATATTTGTGAATAGTAAACAGCTTATATACCTCAATATCAAAAACAAACAAACAAAAAACTCAAACAACCTGATACAAACTGAGCATAATACCTGAATAGACATTTTTCCAAAGACTTACAAATGGCCAATAGGCACCTGAAAAGATGCTCAACTGAGCTAACTACCAGAGACAAGCAAACCAAAACCATCATGAAATATCACCTCACATTTGTCAGAATGTCAATCATCAAAAAGAATACAAATAACAAATGTTGGCGAGGATGTTCAAGCTGGATTTAGAAAAGGCAGAGGAATTAGAGATCAAGTTGCCAATATCAGTTGGATGACAGAAAAAGCAAAGGAATTCCCAAAAAAACACCTATTTCTGGTTCATTGACTACACTAAAGCCTTTGACTGTGTGGATTACAACAAACTATGGAAAATTCTTAAAGAGAAGGGAATACCAGACCACCTTACTTGTCTCCTGAGAAATCTGTATGCAGGACAAGAAGCAATAATTAGGACTGGATATGGAACAATGGATTGGTTCAAAATTGGGAAAGGAATACATCAAGGCTGTATACTATCACCCTGCTTATTGAACTTATATGCAGAGTATATCATGCAAAATGCTAAGCTAGATGGCTCACAAGCTGGAATCAAGATAGCCAGGAGAAATATTAACAACCTCAGATATGCAGATGATACCACTCTAATGGCAGAAAGTGAAGAGGAACTAAAGAGCCTCTGGATGAGGGTGGAAAAGGAGAGTGAAAAAGCTGGCTTAAAACTCAGCATTCAAAAAACTAAGATCATGGCATCCATCACTTTATGGCAAATAGAAGGGGGAAAAGTGAAAAAGGTAACTAATTTTATTTTCTTGGGCTCCAAAACCACTGTGGAAATTAACTACAGCCATGAAATTAGAAGATGTTTGCTCCCTGGAAGGAAAGCAATGACAAACCTAGACAGCATATTAAAAAGCAGAGACATCACTTTGCTAACAAAGGTCCCTGGAGAAGGAAATGGGAACCCACTCCAGTATTCATGCTTGGAGAACCCCATGGACAGAGGAGCCTGGTGGGCTACAGTTCATGGGGTTGCAAAGTCGGACACGACTGAAGCAACTTAGCACATAGTCAAAGCTATGGTTTTTCCAGTAGTCATGTATGGATTTGAGAGTTGGACTACAAAGAAAGCTGAGCACCACAGAATTGATGCTTTTGAACTGTGGTGCTGGAGAAGACTCTTGAGAGTCCCTTGGACTGCAAGGAGATCCAACCAGTCCATCCTAAAGGAAATCAGTTCTGAATATTCATTGGAAGGACTGATGCTGAAGCTGAAGCTCTAATACTTTGGCCACCTGATGCAAAGAGTTGACTCATTGGGAAAGAACCTGATGCTGGGAAAGACTGAGGACATAGGAAGAGATGGTTGGATGGCATCACTGACTCGATGGACAAGAGTGTGAGCAAACTCTGGGAGATGGTGAAGGACAAGGGAGTCTGGCGTGTGGCAGTTCACATGGGGTTGCAAACAGTCAGACATGACTTAGTGACTGAACAGCAACAACCAATACAACAATAAAAACACTGAATCACTGTGTTGTATACCTGAAACTAATATAATACTGTAAATCAATTATAATATTGAGATATACTAATGCAATATTAAAAAACAACTAAAGTAACCATTATCTTGACTTCTAACACAAAATTTTGCCTATTTTTATCATTTATAAAATCAAATAATGCTACGCTTCCTTTGCTTACTATTATGTTGGTGAGAATCATCCATAGTATGGCACATAGCAATGGTTGATTCATTCTCATTACTATAAAGTATTCCATTTGTGTATACCCCATAATCCATTTAGCCTTTCTACTGCTGATAGATATTTGGGCTATTTCCAGTTTGGGGTTATTCTAAATATAATGTTACTATAACTACTCTTGAATGTGGTTTTTGGTATACTTTTTCACATTTCTGTTGAATATACAGTTGGAAGAGAAACTGCTGGGTCACAGAAAATGTATATGTTCAGCTTAAGAAGATACTGCCAAATACTATTCCAAAGTGGCTGCACCAATTTAAGTAATTTACACTTTCACCAGTCATATGTAAATGTTCCAGATGTGATACACCTTTGTCAACACTTAGTACTGTCCATCTTTTTTTAGCACTTCTCATCATCCCACTGCTATTGAAATAAACTATTTGCATAATGCAGTAACAGGAACTGAAAAGACTTTAGTGAAATGACTAGTCTCAAAACTAGGCAAGAAATAATGTAAGAAGAAGTTGGGACATCTTGTGCCAAAAAGCAAGAAAATATCAAGGACTAACTGAGTCAGATCAAAAAGACAAAGAAACCAATCTGTAGGGGTTCCCACTGTCAACATTTACATCAAAAGTAAGCAATCAAACAAATCCAGAATGTAGGATATTCAACAAGACCAACAATCTGGTTTCTTCAACAAAACTGTGGTATTTAAAGAAAAAAAAAATGGGGCACTGATATTGATTAAAAGAAATTTAAGAGACTCTCCAAATATAACATATGCTAAACCAAAAAAATAAATAAATAAAAATAAAAAAAGATATTTAATGCAGTTAAGAAAATTTTAATATGAATTGGTATGAGATGATGTGGAATAACTTAATAATTCCATCATGGCTATATTAAAAAATATCAGTTATTATTATTTAGAGATACATACTGAACTATGTATGATTTAAATAACATATCAGGGATTTACTTTAAAATATTACAGCAGGCTACAACAGAAAGTGAGAGAAAAAAAGATGAAAAAGATTGCAAAATATAAATAATTGTCAAATTTACACCAAAACTGCAAAGAATAATTTGAAAATTTCCATATTATAAAATATATATATAAGTTGAAAAACAAGACCTAGCTTCAAATTTCAGTTCTGACTCTATATCTGATCAAGTCACTGGACCTCTCAAGAGTAACGATAACCCTATATGCAAAAAAAGAAAAAGAGACTCAGATGTATAGAACAGACTTGTGGACTCTGTGGGAGAAGGCGAGGGTGAGATGTTTCTAATAATTACTGACAGAGATGAATTTTGAGATGTTAAGAATACCCAGAAGTATGACTTTCTTCCTACTATGAAACAAAAAAATGAAAGATTCATATCTCATATTTTGAAAATATACAAAGGAACAATATGAACTTCAAAAAATAATGATAGAACAGATTATAATATTTTGAATAAATAGGAGATTGATAAAAAGGGAGGGAGGGGGAGAGAGGGAAGGAAAACTTTTCTTACAATAGTATGCCAAATAAAAAATATAGATGGAATAACAGTGTTAGAATATCACCATTTTGCAATAATCAGAGTTATAAATGACTCAGCAAGATTAATAGTTGCTAAAATAGAGAATAAAAGTTTGATGGGGAAGAGGACATTTACATTATTTCACAGTATCTCCCCACAAATTACTCATTAATCACAGGAGGAAATAACTCTACAATGAAAAACCTGGCAGACACTACCTTAACCAAGTATCAAAGTTAACACCAATAATGAGTCAGACCTCGCGTGTACCTTATGATATGATGCACTGAGGACACAGTATTATTTATGTATTATTCCCACCAAAACATGTAATTTGAATCTAAACAGAGGAAACGCCCGATAAATCCAGGTTGAAAGACATTCTAGGGATTTCCTGGTGGTCCAGTGGTTAAGAATCTACCTTGCAATGCTAAGGGCGTAGGTTCAATCCCTGGTCAGGGAACTAAGATCCCGCATACTGAGGGGGAATTAAGTCCATGTACCACAACTACCAAGACCAGACGTCATAAG